GGATCCCGAGGCGCTGTGACTGCGCGCTCCCAGAGGAGGCTGCGGCCCTCGACGGGGAGCTGCTACATTGTATCCTGTGCTGAGGTCGTCCCCGGGCCACGGAGTGCACGTTTGCAACAGATACTGCAACAAAGTTTCCCAGGCCTTCTGGCGGGCGGGCGGGCCGGGAGGACACCTGCAGGCTCCCTGGCCCGGCGCGCGGCGGCCGCCCCCATGGCTCCTCCCAAGAAAGGCGAGCTGACCCAGGAAGAGAAGGAGCTGCTGGAAGCGATCGGGCAAGGTGAGGACGCCCCCCAGCCCCTGCTGCCCGGACCGTGAAAGGCTCTGGGGCTGAGCGGCCACCTCCTTCCTGGCTGGCAGGGGCACGAGGGCACAGGGTCCGGGAAGCCAGGGAACGCGAGCATTGAGATTGGGATTGCAGCGCTATCACCCACCACGGGGGGAAGGTTGGGCTTGCAGGCCAAGGGGGCACCCTAACATGTGAGCGCCCCTCTTCCATACCCCCCCCCCCAGCCAGCACCGCCTGGCATCTTTGGTTGCTGGTCACTTGCACGCAAAGTGACTCCCCCCTCCCCCAGCTCGTGTCGGAGCAGGGCCAACCTGGCCTCCAGAAGCTGGCTCCAGCTCCTGCCTTCTGGAACGCCGGGCCCCGCCTTGGCCCGGGGCGGGGGGGGGGGGCGGGAGGCGGAGAGGAGGAGCTCCCGGGCACGTGGGAGCCTGCCTGGGCTGGGCTGGGCCTCGCCCCTTCCCCTAGGACCACCTAGATCCCGCCCCTCGAGCGAGTCCCGCTGTCTTTTCTGTCCCACCTCCCTACCTGCCCCTTCCCCAGCAGACACTCCAGGCCACCTGTGCCCTCGGAGGGATTGAGTTCAGGTGTGCCCACATCTCCGCCTTGCACCGTCCCCGGGGCCTCGGAACCTCCTGTGGTTCCTAGCACTGTTCTAGGCTCTGGGGGACTGGGTACAAAAGCCAAGCAGCCCGACCACCCTCCTGAACGCTCAGTGGATCATTGGACACATGTTAGAGAGAAGGACAAAAGTAGAGACGATGTTAGATCGGGGAAGCACTTTAGAGGCGCCTGTAGTAGCTTCGTGTCGCTTGTCCGGGGAGGAGAGGCAGCTGGTGGCCTCTTTGAAGGGGCGGGGTGAGGAGGAGAAGACAGTCACATCTCCCCTCGCCCTGATGAGGGTTCAGATCTTCTGCCGTGGCAGACAACCCGCAGCTAAGGTCGAGTCACGGTCTTCTCCCCCACCCCCCTCCTTCCCCTCTGTACTCAGTGTCTCCCTCCCTCTCCTCGGTCTCTGGTCCCCGCCTTCCCTTCCCTTCTCCAAAGGGGCGAGAATGCCCCAGTCCTTTCGGTACACAGGATTAGGAATCAACTTAACAGAAAAACCCTGGTTTCCAGGCTGAGATTCCTTTATACCTTTAATGGAAAGGCTAAAAGGCCAGATTAATACCATTAAGGAAGCAAAGATTACAAGCAGGAAGGGACCTCAGACCATCTGGCTTAGCCCCCTCATTTTACAGAAGAGGAGTCTCAGAAGTGAAAGGAGGGTCAAGTGACTTACCCAAGGTCACACGGTAAATGGGAGGCCTAGATTTGAATCCTGGTCCCATACCTCCCAATCTAGCACACTTCCTACTGTGTTAGCTGTTTCTCCTGACTCTAAAAATGGGCCCCTCGGGTCTGTATAGTGCACCCTCTTCATTTTGTAAATGAGGAAACTGAGGCCCAGATGAGTGAGGTTGCCCAGGGCTTTGGGGGTAGCTCGTCTGAGGGGCTCAGAGAATTACAACTGGGACGACCCCTGCTGCATCCGTTTTACCCCCAGAGGGGACTTGCCTGATGTCGCTCACGTTTAACGGTCAGCCTCAGAGGTAGCATTTGAACTCAGATCTTTCAGCGGCAGAGCCAGGATTCTTTCCACTCTTCCCCACATTCAGGAATAACACATTAAGCCTTTATTACATGGCGACTAGAAAGTCAGTCTGGTTTAGTGGATAGAGAGAGAAACTCCAGAGGTGGAAGACGTGCTGCTGACACATCCCAGGTGTTTGAGCCTTGACAAGGCCCTGAATTCCCCAGGGCCCCGATCCAGCTCTGGAGTCAGTCCTCGTGGGTGGAGGAAGCTCCCTGCACCAATAAAATCCTAGGTCCAGAAGCACTCCCCGCCAAGTGCCAGGCACTGGGACCCAAAGACAAAAATGTCAATCTCGAGGCAGCTAGGTGGCGCAGTGGATAGAGCACCAGCCCAGAAGTCAGGAGGACCCGAGTTCAAATGCGGCCTCAGACTAAACATTTGACACGTACTAGCTGTGTGACCCTGGGCAAGTCACTTAACCCCAATTGCCTAAAATAAAAAAAAAATGTCACTCTCCCTGACTTCAGGGAGCTTACATTGTGCTGTGAGGAAACAAACATCAGCACTGGTCAGTTGATGTAAAACACATTCAAAGTAAGTTCTCAATAACTGGGAGGGAGACCTCTGAATTTGAGGAAGGGTCTCTTCTACGAAGTGATTGAAACTTGAGACGAGCCCTGGTTGGAGCTCAGCACTCCCACAGGGACACTGTGCCAGGCCTGATGGATGGCCTGGTGGATGGCCTGGGCAAAGGTGCAGAGGTGGGAGACAGAAAACTGTGCTCCTAGAATGTAGACGCATGCTCAGGCAAGAAATCGTTGAGGGGGATCTTCATGGTGGAGAATGGAGGGCAGGTTACAGAGGGGTCAGGTGCTGGGATGGAAAGCCACAGCGTCTCTCCTGGACAGACTGTTCCCCTGCCCTATAGATCCTACGGTGTGGACCGGCCTCCAACATTTCCAGGCAGAGGCTGGACGTCCTCTTGTCAGAGCTGCTGTGGTAGGGATTCTGGTACTCCGAGAGCTTGGCCTCGCTGGTGTGCTCACCGCAGCTTCTGCTCAGCTTTTGGAGGTGTGTCCTCCCCTCCCATCCAGGTGTGAATGGCCTGCCTCCCCCCCACTCGTGGCCATGGGAGCACATTCCCCTCTGGAGAAGAGACACAGCTGACCCACATTAAGTAGAGGAAAACTGTTTTGAGGGAAAGGAACAATCAGCTCTCTGTTGGGCCTTAATCCCTGGAGTCCTCCCACCCTAGGATGTGGGTCATGGCAAAGCCTTCTGGGATGCGCTAACATACACATCCATTGTCCTGTTTCCAACCGAACCAGGAGGTTTGGTGCAGCGAGCCTCCCAGCCTTGGTCTTCCTTAGGCGTTCTGGCCCCTGCCCCCAGGTCCGAGGATTGGAGCTGCCCTGCTTAGCCACAGCAGAAGATCCTGGAGGGGGCTGAGAACTCAAGAGAGGCCCCCTGGGTGCTCAGTGTGCCTGGCTAATATTAACCTAATGAAATTTGAATCATATGAATGCTGCTGTGGGTTAAGGGGACTTTCTTGACTTTAAAGCATTCACTTCCCAATTTCATACCATTATCCTGTTGCCAACAAAACAGGAATAAAGGCTCCTGCACTTATTTCCTCTTATGCCCTCAGCTGTCCGTTCAGTCCTGTCCCTGCCTGCAATGCCCAGACCTCTTCATCTCCAACCCCATGTCAGGCTGGCAGAGCAGAGGCCAGCTGCCCGCTGCCTTTCCTACAAGCTCATTTTACTGAGGTCCATCCACCCTTCCTTAGGGCAGCTGGTAGCTCTTTTGCACCCCAGGGCTCACTCTATTGATGCCCAACTTAGTGTAGTTCAGAGCTCTTGAGTTCAAGAGATCCACCCTCAGCTGCCCGGGGAAATAGTGTCAGAGACCTGCCCCTATACCCTGCCAGCACCTGGGCTCAGCTCTGAAAGACTTCTTTCATTCTCTCTCCCTCCTCCTACAGTTAGTTAGTTCTCATTTTCCCCTCATATTATCTCCCTGAGAATGGAAGCTCCCTGAGGGCTGGCACCGCTGGCTGACCTGTTAAATTGCTTTGTGTGTTTGGAGGGCAAACACGATCATCTTTGTCATTGTATGACTGCTTAAAAGGAAGCAGATCTGTACCTGATGGAGTGTACTGGATCTGGTTTTGAAGTCACTGCCTCTTGGAGCTGGAGGGAAGGGATCTAGCAACACCCCCACCCCCCCACCGCCCTACCCCCCTACCTCCACCCCCGCCCAGAGCTGAGCAGGAATCCAGTAGACCTGACACAGCACTGACAAGTGGGCTTCCCAGGAGGGTCCAAGGGCCCCTGAATGGGTGCTAGTGACGTAGTTGGTCTAAATCTCCTCTAGCCTTCAGAGAGCAGAGAATTCATGCAGAGGGAGAGGCAGGGGGCTGTAGGGAGCCTTGGATTCTTGACCGCTTAACCTGACATGCTTTTAGCAATTTCCAAATGGCATTTCTTTGATTTTGGCGGGGGGCATTTTCTGCGTTTCTGAGTACTTAGACTTATTTATGTGTGGTTTCTCTTAAGGGAATGTCCAGGAGGCCGGGAGACTGCTGGGAAGCAAGAATGTTCGTGTCAACTGTTTGGATGAGGTAAAGAAAAGGGCCCAGGATTCACCAAAAGTAGGAGGCAGACTTGTTTCCTGGGCCTGCTCACAGAGTTCTCTGGGGCCTGCATTCAGGTCCACATTCCACTCCATTCCATTAAGGAAACAGACTGGCTTGGCCGCCGGAAAGTTCTCTGGCTGATGACAGAGCAGAGCAGAAGTGGGCTGAAGCCTGGTCATTCGAGGCAGTGGTCAGAAGTCCTGCCTCTGCAGTGTGGCCCAGTGGAAAGTGCCGGGCACAATGTCCTTTGCCATCCCTTCTTGCCGGCGCAGCGTAAGGATGCTTTATCTGGCCCCAGTTAGAGGTGCTGCCAGGGTGGAATGAGCAAAGCCAGCTGCCCGGACGGCCGGCAGGGACCTTAGAGGTCAGCAGCCCAGCGAGTCTCTTCCTAGAGATGAGCAGTAACTCAGAATACCGAAAGTCTTCCCTGGGTTGTCACCATGGTGCAGCAGAGAGCGATTGCATTTAAAACCTGAGCACGCGGGTTTGATCTGGGCCAACCTTGGGGGTCACGGAACCTTCTTGGGTTTTGGTTTCCTCCTCTTGAAAATGAGGGAGTTGGATTAGCTAGCCTAGTTAGATTGCAGTCTCCTCCAGGGCAAGGACTGTCTTTTGTTCTTTTTGTAGACTTAGCACAGGGCCTGGCATATAGTAGGCACTTAATAAATGTTTATTGATTATTATTTTTAACATTCTTTTTTTTATTTTGAATTCTAAAATCTCACCTGCCCTCCTATACCTCCCCCACTCATTGAGAAGATAAGCAATGTCATATCAGTTATATGTATGAAGTCACATAAAACATTTCCATATTAGCCATGTATCAAAAAAAAAAAAAAAGCAAGAAAAATGAAGTTAAAAAAGTCTGCTTCCAGGGACAGCTAGGTGGTTCAGTGAATAGAGCACCAGCCCTGGAGTCAGGAGGACCTGAGTTCAGATCTGGCCTCAGACACTTACTAGCTGTGTTACCCTGGGCAAGTCACTTAACCCCAATTGCCTCACCTCCAAAAAAATTAAAAAGAAAAAAAAGTCTGCCTCAGTCTGCATTTAGGATTTATCAGCACTTTTTCTGGAAGTGGAAAGCATCGCTCATCATAGGTGCTTTGGAATTGTCATGGTTCATTATCTCTATCAGAGTAGCCAAGTCTTTCCCAGCTGATCAGCCTTAATAGTATTGCTGTTACCATGTACACTGTGTGTGAGTGTGTGTATCTGTGTGTATGTATGTGTGTGTATGAGAGAGACAGAGACAGCAACAGTGAGCAGGTAGAATAATCTCTCCGCTTGTTAGTTTTCCTAAAGACCAGATAGGGGCTAGTGTAGCTTTCTTCACCATGCCATTGACTCCCCAGACCAAGTGATCCTGCCCTGGCTAGTGATAGCTCTCTCTATTGGGACGTAAGCTCCTTGCAGGCAGGGTCTTCCTAGCTTTTGGAGTTGTATCCCCAGGATTTAGCCCATTGCTTGGCACAGAGGAAGTGCTCCATAAACTTCTGAGAGAGAGAATGGGTGGGAATGGAGGAGGACCTCCAGAAACACCTGCCAGGACACAAGGAGGAGAAGCTGGCCAGTGTTAGGCCACTAGAAAAGTCCAGTGGTGAAGAGTAAGGAAGGCCGGGGTGACAAGCAGTGATAGGAGCTGCAGAGGATCCCAAGCAGTGAGGAGAGAAGCCTGTGGGCAACGGGAACTGGTGAAGGTCCTTGGGATGTCAAGAGACCCATTTCAGTGTAGTGCTTGGGGAAGAAGCCAGGACCCAGGGTTTAAGAAGCAAAGTGAGGGCTCAGGGAAATATAAGCACGAGTGTTGACTGCTCCTTTGGAGAGTTGGGTGGTAGAGGAGAGGGTGCAATGACCTTGGTGGAGCCCACGTGATCAATAAGACACAGAGCAGAAGCGTGACTGGAGGGCGAGGGACGATGGGGGTGATGCTCGGGAAGGAGCCAGGGCTCCAGGCATGGAAGCTCCATCTGCTGATGGCAGCTGAATGTTCTAGAAGTAACCTGGAGTCCTGCGGCGGAGCTGGGAGCCCTGGGCAGGGAGCTCAGCTGAGCCAAGCCAGGTTTCGGGGACGGGGTGTGGGAACGGTCATGGGCCTACAAGAGAACAGTTTGCTCATCAGAAAGTGAGGGGCCGAGCTTGGGCTCCTTGGGAATATTGGAGGTGGTCCAGAAGGACCTTGCAGCTCACCCTGGCCCTACTTTGGAGGCTGAGGACTTGGGATGAAGGACCAGTACTGTGTCACTCCCCCTCCATGGGCTTCTTTGTCCTCTATGTATATGGGGGGGGGGGGGAGGTTTGTACTCCACCTTGCAGCTCCAAATCTCAGCTCCCATGCCCTCGGACAAGAAGCAGGCTAGCTGGAGGTCCTGGTTAGTGGTAAGGAAAGGAAAATGAGGCACACACAGATCTTCCTAAAAGGGCTGCAGTTAGAGACTGGCCTGGGGGTGTCCAGAGACAGGAGGAAGAACACTAGATGGGGCGTTGGGAGACCTGGCTTCAGGTCTCACTTGCTGTGTGACCTTTGTAAGTCATTGAACATCTCTGATATGCAAAATGACTTTTAAATTGGTGACAAGCAAAGTAAGCCTACTGGTTGCCTTGGGGAGGGTTTTCCTGTTGTAAAAAAGATATTTCTGTATTATCACCTAGAACCATGGGCCATGACTTATAAAGGGAGTCCAAGCTAACTACCAGTCCCAAGAGTCTTTACTGGCCAAATATCAAACAATTCGATTTTACGGCTTTCCTCGTATTGTCTTTCAAAGCGTCTGTCTTCAGGAAGAATAAAAGGGGCACGTAGGCAGTTGGCTGCGACTCCAAAGGAAGGGACACAGTTGAGTTGGGAGAGCGCCAACTATGGTAAACTTGCTTTGGAAAGTAAAAACACATCTTGGTGAGGGTCTGTGTCCAAGGAATTGGGCAGTATTGACGGAGCCCTGCTTGTGGACTCCGGCCCCGGACGAGGCACTGTAGGGAGGGACAGAAGGCGGTCAGCCTCGCAAGGTCACCAAGCCCCGGGTCCGACAGGCAAACACAGATAACAGCACGTCCATGAGCATCTCCCCGGAGCCGGGGCATCTTGAAGCTGTGAATGAGCTCTTGTGACTTTGCTATGTGATGAATAAAAGATTCTCAATGCCATTCTCACCCCATCACCTTTGAAATGCACGTATTTAAGTCAGATAACCCACTTGTTTATTGCGCTTGTGGGATCAGCTGCCATTGAAGTTGTCTAGAACGTGGATGTCATTTCTCAAACCCGAGAAAGGGTCCGTGCCCATTGATTCCCCCGCCTAGCTTCGTGCCTTATGGAGCCATGATCTGCTCACAGTTAGTTCTCTGACTTTCCTCATCACCCTGGTAACTGACCTCTCCCTTTTCCTTGCTTTTCCCCAAAGCACGGGATGACGCCGCTCATGCACGCAGCGTACAAAGGGAAGATGGACATGTGTCGGATGCTCCTGCGACACGGGGCCAACGTGAACTGCAATGAGCATGAGCACGGCTACACGGCCCTGATGTTCGCCGGACTTTCTGGTGAGTTGGGGGGAATCTTCCACCTTCTTGGGCTTTCACGTTTTCTTTAAATCTAACGAGTCTTTCCTTGGTCCCTAATCATCGAGCTCTTAAAGGGGTTTTTCCTCTACACAGTTGTGCGGCCCTGAGGCCAGTTTAGGTTTTTCAAGAAGCACTTGATAACTTGTCCTCCCCCTTCATCAAAGCTGAAATTATTTTTTAAAAATTTAAAACCTAATGTGTATTTGGCAAAGTACATGTGGAAGAAGTCAGACTTTAGAGGTAACTGAGTCCAGTGGCTTCATTTTCCAGATGAAGCAGTAGAGGCCTAGAGAGCTTGGGTGGTTTGCCCAACATCACATAGCCAGGAAGTATCTGGGATGGAATCTTAACCCGGGCCCAGTCCAGCTCGATCTCTGGTCTACACTGCCCAGCGGTAAGTCTGGAAAGAGACCTCTGGTTCTGCTGAGCGAGTTAAACGCCTCGCACAGGTCATTTCCAGGGGTGGGCGGAGAGGAATCTGCAGACCAGATGGTCCCGTCCCGGCTCCTATGCCCCGTGAGCCTAACTGATGCCAATTCTGAAACGGCAAGAAGATTCACCAGATAAAGCCCTTCAAGAGTCTTGGGGAAAAGTGTTTAAAATTACACTGCCCTTAAGGGTAAGGCACATATTCCTTTCAACTCTAGGAAATAAAGAGATTACTCGGGTAATGCTGGAAGCTGGAGCAGACACGGATGTTGTGAATTCAGTTGGCAGGACAGCAGCGCAGATGGCGGCCTTTGTGGGTAATTAGTCAAATGCTATTGGTGATTGGGGATGGGAGGCAACTCGTAAAAAAATTCTCAACATTGTCCCTTTGGGATGAAAATCACTTGACATTTCAAGTGCCCCCTTGATGTCAGCTGTTAGTTGTGTTTCAGAATACTGGCCGCAGATTTCTCCCTTCTCCATGCCGGTCCTTTTGGCTGGCCTTTTTGAAATGGACACACGCCATGGGGATGGTGGTGGGGCGGGTGGCCAGCTCTTACAGCTCTTAAGAGAAGCTAGGAAGGATGGGAAGGCCCTTAACAAACGCCATGTTCTTAAGTCAGCATCTTTTCACTCTGCAATTCAACAAACATTCATTGAGCAGCTCCTCTATGCCAACCCTGTTCTGGAGGAGGAGGAGACAGAGACCAACATGACAAACAGCTCCTGCCCTCAAGGAGTTTACATTTACTGGGGCACACAACATGTAGGCAAATAAGTAAAAGTGAGATGCTTCAGGGAAGGAGAGGGCTAACAGCTAACAGGGGATAGACGAGCCTTCTAATACAAGATGGCACCTGACAGGTGAGCCTGGAAGGAAGCCATGGATCTTTACAGGCAGAGATCAGGAAGGAAGGGCAGCCTGTGCAAAGGCTGGAAAAAAGATGTTTAAAAAGTGCTAAGCAAGCTAGTTTGTCTGGATTGTGGCGTGGGTGAAGGGAGGCCTAGGAAATGAGCCTGAGCAGGTGAGTTGGAGTCATATCTCTGAGGGCTTCCACCACCAGGCTGAAATGAGGTCCCAGGAGCCATATTGAATGAGACTGAGCAGGGGTGTGAGCTGGTTAGGCCTGTGCGTTAGGAAGCTATTTCTCACAGCCAGGAATGTGATTCTCTTAGAGAAATAGGTGTCCCGGTGGCTGATTCCCTCATAAGGAATGGGTGATGAAGCAGAATCCTTCCCTTGAACTTGGTTCTCCTAGTTAGTGATTGTGGAGGAAAGAGCCCAAGTCATAAGAGAGCTCCGGATGCTTTGGTGATGAGTAGTCTATGTCCAGTGTTTATTAAATGCCTTCCCTGGTTCATTCTCCAATGTTCTCTGGAGCCCCAGTGAGCCCCAGCCCTACTGGGCTGAGTAGACTGGAAGGTGAAAAGGCAGTACCATTTGGAAATGAGTCTTGGAAGTATTTTCTCATTTGGAATGTGCCCAATTAAGTGCCCAGATTTGGGGGGCAGTGACAAGGGTGCCCTAGAAGGGAAGGAGGCAGAGAGTCATTGACTGAGAGAGTGGATCCCTTTAGAGGGCCTTTCTGGGCAAAGGCTACCTTCCCTGATCTGGCCTTTTCTGCTTTGAGAGAGTCAGAGAAGAGGCTAAGAGCTTAATTGAGGAGGCAGAGTGAGGAGTCCAAGCCAAGCTACCTATTTCATAGGGAACCCTGTTCATCTCATAGTAAGACAGGTATTTCTCAAGCCCACTCATTGCCCAAGAAAAGGAAGAAGAAAAAGAAAAACCTTCTATAGAAAGGAATTAGATTTGGGATGAGGAAACTAGATATGTTTGGGGGAGGAGACAGGAGGGGAATGGGGGGCCCCCAGTTCTTCATTGAGAGTAGCAAACAGCTCATTTCTGCCTTCCCAGTTAGACATTTCAGCAAGAAATTGTATATAAAGCTCTTTCCTCAGAACTATTTAAAAATCGTGACAGACTCATCTGTGTCGTGGCCGCCATGGTGGAAGTCAAGAGTCAGAGGTTAGAAGATGCTGGGTGTGGGATTACTGTGAGCCTCTGGGACACTTGCCTAGTTTGTGGCCTTTTATAGGTGCCAAGCACTGTAAGGTGCTGGGGACATGAAGAAAAACGGGGAACTGGGCCCTGCCTTCAAGGAGTTTCTCTTCTATTCTGTGCTGTTCTAGTAAGGGAGCCATATGTAGACATTCCTATAAATTCCAAGTTTATGAAAATCCAGGATGCTTGGGCTAGGGGCACGGAGAGCCGGGGTCCCCCAGGTCCTCATGAAGAGCAGACACGGCAGCCCGGGTGCTCCTCTTAGGGTCGTGGGGAGGGAACCCTGACCAGAACGTGGGCAGGCCTGCGCCGTGCTCCAAGATGAGGCTTCTCAGCGGCTGCTTCTTTTCAAAGGCCAACACGACTGCGTGACTGTGATTAACAACTTCTGTCCCCGAGAGAGGCTGGATTACTACACGAAGCCCCAGGGACTGGAGAAGGAGCCCAGGCTGCCCCCAAAGCTGGCAGGGCCCCTGCACAAGATGGTCACCACGACCAATCTCCATCCGGTCAAGGTACTTCTGGGGGAAGCTCAGCGTCCCCGAGGCAGCTCTGCCCAGGGCGCCCCTCGTGGGGAGAGGCCGTCCTGCCCCTTGGGGCCGGGGTGGCAGTGGGCCTTACGCTTGTGCTCTTCACAACAGCCTGGGAGGTCCATGCTCCTTTTATGTCCATCTTTCAGATGAGGAAAATGAGGCTGTCACAGTACCAGTAAGTGACTGAGAACTGTGTCCCCGCCCCCACTGAGCATGCTACTCCACAGTCAGAGCTGACATTCCTGTGGGGCTTTTAACGTTCGCAAATTGTTTTACCTGCATTATCTCATTTGCAGCTTATAACAGTGTTACTCGTATGATTGTCCTATTTTACCAGAGAGGAAACTGAGGCAAGGAAGAGTTAAGTGACTCGCCCATATTCTCAGAGGTCATCTTGACTCAGTGTTCAGGGCTGTGTGGCTACAGCCCAGTGACCCTTAGGAGGCTGGAGCCAGACTGAGGAAGGTCGGGGTCAGACGTGCACTTTAGGAAGATTCCTTTGGCAGCTGTGAGGAGGCGAGATTGGTGAGGGGATCGATGGGAAGTGGGGAAGCTAATCGGGAGCCCATTGTCACAGCCTAGGCCAGAGGTGACGAGGGCCTGACCCAGGCTCGGTGCCGTGTGAGTGGAGAGGAAGGGACAGGTGTGAGAGAAGGTGTACTCCCAGTGTTGACAAGACCTTGCATCTGATGGCGGATTTGGGGAGAGAGAGAGAGGGCGTCTGATGTCACGAGCCTGGGTGACCGAGAAGAGGGCCCTTCCACCTCGAAACTGATGGAGGCAGATCCTGCAGCCGAGGTAGCTTGGGAGTTTGTCCAGGCCTCGGGGGCAGAAGGACAGGAGCAGAGCTTGGGACTCAAAGGCAGAGGTCAGGGGAGCTGAGCTGCTCAGCTCTTAGAGTAGCCCTGGGAAGGGACGGAGGATGCCTGGCAGGGCCGGGAGGGGTGTGGTGACCGGAGATGGGGAGGATGACTGAGCCAGGCATGGGCAGAGATGGAAGGTCTGGGGTTGTGATCAGGGAGGGCCAATCTCAGAGTTCAGAAGACTCACAGGCAGCCCTGAGCCATGGTAGTACTACCCTTCTGGGTGGCTGAGGTGGGGCAGAGGTTACCAATTATTGGAATATGACAGCACAGGAATCCAGGCCGTGGGGACTTGGTCTGTATATTGAAATCCTCCTGCAGAAGAGCAGAGGTGGGAATGGAGGGACAGAGTGAGCTAGGCACTGATCTCCGTGAGAAGGAGAGAGAATGACCTGCAGACCAGGGGGCAGCTGTCTGTGGCCTAGACGAGCCAGAGGGGAAAGGCCACCTCAAGGGCAGAGCAGCATCTGATTGCGAGCAGTGAGGAGGAAGGAGTCTTCCCTCCCTGGGCCAGGGACACAGAGACCAGACAGGACAGCAGGGTTTGACGTTCGGGGGTGCAAGGAGATTGTAAGAGCATCTCAGACAGAGGCCTAGGTTGAAGGAGAGCAGGTCATGGGAACAGAGGCTTCAGGGGGCCTGGTGGAGGGCTGGAGCTGAACACGGAAAGGCTTGGGATAAGGTGGTTGGAGATGTGAAAGCCTACAGGGGGCGCAGGGAAGCGAGGGGCTTTGTTGTTTTGGATTGAGGAGAGGAGATGGAAGGGGGTGCGTGCCAGCCAGACATGGGGGAAGCAGCCCTTGGCCGGGCTCCCACCCTCAAGGACCCTCTCTCAGATGCTGGGAAAGAAGAGGCTGAGCCAGCAAGGAGATGGGATTGGGCATCTGAGTCTGACGCCCTCGCCTGATCCCAGGAAGGAGAGTGGTTTATGCGCAGGGAGGGGTAGCCTGCTCATAACACGTGCCTAGCACTTGTCGCCCTGCTGTTGGCCAAGGTCCGGGCAATGTGAGGCCTGGCACCTGAGGCTTTGGTCCTGATGCCTTCGTAGGTGTGGAATTCCCCAAATGCTGTGACGAGTGGCCCCCTGGCCTCTCCCTCCCTGTGAGCCTTGATAAAGCAGAGGCCTTTCACTCTACCCCGACCGAGACAGAGCCTGCTCTGGGTGCCCAGGCCTCTGTGCTTCCTGGGGTATTGGGGGCACAGTCATCTACCTGGGCACTTTGTGTTTGTGTGACTCATGGAGACCATACTCACCCTGCTTTCCAGCTCTGTTTCTAATGAGCCGGAGAATCCCCGCTTCCCTCCCAGTGATTTTCTGATCCCCCACCCCCACCCCACCCTCCCCCCGCTGGAGTCCTCCCTCCTCTCGCATAGCCAGAGAGGCTCCACTCTTTGGGACTTTTTTCAGGTAACCTCATCTCCCAGGGTCACACTAGAGGCCTGCAGTCCCCTGGATCCAACTATTTAAAGGCTGAAAGCATGAGGAAGCTATCACTTCAGAGACTCATTTGTTACAAAAGAGATGAATCATTGGAAAAGCAGCCTCCCGAAATCAGCTTAGGAGAACTTGGGAGCCCAGAGCATGCTGGGAGTTAGGTCCCGTCCCTGCAGAATCTCAGACCCCAGCCCGGACTGATTGAGTGTCCCCTCTGCCGCATCCCTGACCAGCGGGCATCCAGCCTTAAAGGTCTCCCAGGAGCGTGAGCCAGCTGCCTCCCAGAGTGGCCCATCCCTACTTGGAACAGCTCGGAGGCTCAGGGCACCTGCCCTGACCGCCCTCCCCACGCCCATGGCTCCTTTTTCTGCCCTTGGGACCCAGCATGCCTGGGCCCTCCTCCGAAGGCGACCCTCTAAATACTGAGAAGGCAGAGATCCTGCCACCCTCCCGAGGCCCCCTGGCCTTCTCTTTCAGACCAAAACCCAGCCCACCTGTGGCTGGACCTACGTAGATCTACAAGTCTGGGCACCAGTGTTCCTTTAGCCACCCTCGGGAGACCCTCTCTCTATGCCTGTCCTGGAGGCCCAGCAATGTCACGTGAGCCCTTGTTCATGAGGCACCATGTTCATAGGGAGCCTCCCAGAGCAGAGCAGGCTGCTTCACCGCACAGCCCCAGGCCAGCTGACCCCCAGACCTGTCACAGAAGCATGAAGCCCTCCCTTTCCCCCACCTCCATGACTTATCTTTTCATTGCATTATAGCTGCCTGTATAGCAGCATCACAGCCCTGGGGTCGCTATGGCAACAGAGGTTTGCTTGGGCTCCTGTGGGACTCAGGCAGCACTGGGAGATTTGGGCTCCTTGCCTGGAATCTGCAACACATATCATCAAAAGAGAAAAACAGGTATAGCGAGGAATGGCAGCAGAGCTCCAGGGAACAGGCCTCTAGGAGGCAAGTGTGGGCAAGATGGGCCTGCCTTTAATTGACCACTGGCTCTGGAGCCCCTGCTGCCCTTTCTGAGGAAACAGGATCAATGATATTATCCAGAAGAATCTCATAAGCTGCCTGAACTGAGCCCGTGTTTGAGTGTTTGAGCCCGTGAGCAGAGCAGAGAAGAGAAAAGAGGAAAGGAGAGAGACAGAGACAGAGAGAGGGAGAGAGAGACAGAAGGATAGAGAAAGAGACAGAGACAGAAAGAGGGAGGGAGAGAGACATGGAGAGAGAGAGACAGAGAGGGAGAGAGAGACAGAAGGATAGAGACAGAGACAGAAAGAGGGAGGGAGAGAGACATGGAGAGAGAGACAGAAGGATAGAGAAAGAGACAGAATGAGGGAGGGAGAGACAGAAGGATAGAGAGACAGAGACAGAAGGAGGGAGAGACAGAAGGATAGAGACAGAGACAGAAAGAGGGAGGGAGAGACGGATAGAGACAGAGACAGAAAGAGGGAGGGAGAGAGACTTGGAGAGAGAGTGACAGAGAAAGGGAGAGAAAGAGACAGAGAGGGAGAGAGAGACAAAGCCATCAGAGTTCAGTTAGAAGCTTACCCCTAGCGAGCTTCTGCTACCATTGTCGCTGTATGAAAATAGTGAACAAGCCCACTTCCTAAGGAGACCTCAGTGTCAGCAAACAAACAATTATAAGTAATAACCAGTGTGTAAACAGGTTTGCTAATTGTTCTTCGCTCCCTGGTTCAAGCTCGTATGCAAGTCGTGAGTAGAGACATGGGCTGGTGTTCAGAGAAGACGATGAAAGGCGTATGTCTGGTCAGCCAAGGTCCCCTTGGTACTTATTTTGTCAAGCCGGCTCTTTGCCTCAAGTCTGACGTTCTAGACTTGTTGATGGTCCTGCCTGTGATGAAAGCTTTAATCAAGACCCGGAGACATTCTTGTGGCTAACAGGCTATAAACAGCCCAATCCTTGGCTCTCCCCTGAGCCTTTCTGAGCCCCTGCTCGCCCCTGGCTCTTCTCTCTTTCACACCACGCCTCGTCTCTCCCCCTCCTTTCCCTCCCCCTTCAAGCGCTCTGATTCCCTCCCTCTGAAATGACTTTGGATGTTCTGTATGTTCTTATCTCTGCAGACGTGTCCACCTGCTAGAATGTAAGGTTCTAGAGGGCAGAGACCGCTTCGTTGGTGAGCAGCACCTTGCATGGTGCCAGCCCACGGACTGACTCTGCCAGTAATTCACAGCAGGAAAGGGCATCCCTTTCTGCCCTGCCCTTAGCTCCGAATTGGCCTGTGCGCAGCAAACCATCCCCAGGCCTTTTGAGAGTTTGCTCTTAAAGTACAAACCAGTGGAAAAGACAGAGCCCTCCCTGTCAGTGGCATGGTCCCTGGAGAGCAGGCCCAGGGAGCCCCCATGGACCCCTCCACCCAAGTGCAGGAGGGTTAGGAACTTTGCTCTTAACCGTCCAAATTATGATCCTGCTAATGGAAGTGATTTTCGGTTTGTCCTTTCCCTTCCTCCCCTACATGGCCACAAGGGATGGGAAACCAGCCCCAGCACTTCCCTTAGAAATCTCCCAGGAATTTATCTCAACTGTTTTTTTTTTTTTCCTACAGAACCCTTCTAACACTTCAGACATAAATGGGCCAGGCTTTGCTGGTACCCAAAACTTGATGAGGAGGGCTAGGCATTATCCCAGTTCTTCCCTCCAGGTGAAGGGCAAGATGACATTTTCCTTGTTTTCATTTTTAAATTAAATTTTATGTTTTTTCAATTAACAAAGAGAGCAAAACCTTTGTAACAAATATTCAGTCATGGGCCGCGTCAAAAAAAAAATATCGTGTACCCTAAATTTTATCTGTCAGGAAAAGAAGCAGCATTTTTAATCATTGGTCCTAAGGACTCATGGTTGCCAATTACATTGATTAGAGTTCTTTCAAAATGGTGCTATTGTATAAAGCGTTCTGGTTATCTTCACCCTGTATCAGTTCATATAAATCTTTCCAGGTTTCCCTAAAAGGGTTCTTTTTGTCATTTCTTATAGCACGGTAATATTCCATCCTATTCATATACCATAATATGTTCAACCATTTCCCAATTGATGGCCTTCATCTTAGTTTCCAGTCCTTTGGCACCACAAAAGATTCTGTTGTTAATATTTTTGCATATATAGGTTCTTTTCCTCTTTCCTTCATCTCTTTGAGATTGTTAATAACAGTAGTATCACTGGATCGAAGGGTATGTACGGTTTAGTAACTTTTGGGGGTGTAGTTCCAGATTGCTTTCCAGAATAGTTTGACCAGCTCACTGCCCCAACAACAGGGCATTGATGTGGCTGTTTTCCCATAACCTCTCCAACATTTGTCATTTTCCTTTTCTGTCAGCTTTGCTAATCTAATGAATGTGAGGTGGAACCTCCTATTTACAGTTCCTTACATTTCTATCACTGTTAGTGATCTGAAGTGGAGTTTTGTTTTTTATGGCTGTTAATAGCTTGAATTTCTTCCCTTAAAAACTGCCTAGGGGCAGCTAGGTGGCCAGTGCCTTGGAGTCAGGAGGTCCTGAGTTCAAATCCAGCCTCAAACACTTGACACTAGCTGTGTAATTCTGGGCAAGTCACTTAACCCCGACTGCCTCACCAAAAAAAGCAAAAGCAAAAACAAACACACCTGTCTATTCATATCTCTTGACCACTTATCACTTGGGAATGGCTGTTATTTTTTTGTCTAATATATTTTATTTTTTCCCTAATTACATGTTAAAACAGTTTTTTTTTAACATTTGGATTTTTTTTTAATTTCCAATTCCAAATTCTGACCTTCTGTCCCTCCTTCCCTCCCCTCCCCCTTCCCTGAGACAGTAAGCAATTAGATATAGGTTACACATGTGCAATCATGTAAAACATTTCCATATTAGTCATTTTTTACAAGAAGACTTGAACAAAAGAAAAAGAATGAAAGAAAGTAAAAAATAGCACGCTTAAGTCTGTATTTAATCAATATTGGTTCTTTCTCTGGAGGTGGATAGTATGCTTCATCATTAGTCCTTTGGGATTGTCTTGGATCATTGTATTGCTGAGAATAGCTAAGTCATTCACAGTTCTCCATCGAACAATATTGCTATTACTATGTACAGTGTTCTCCTGGTTCTGCTCACCTCACTATGCATCAGTTCATGTAAGTCTTTCCAGGTTTTTCTGAAATCATCCTGCTTGTCATTTCTTACAGCATGATAATATTCCATTACAATCATACCACAGTTTGTTTAACTATTCCTCAATTGATGGGCATCCCTTTGATTTCTGATTCTTAGCCACCACAAAAAAGAGCTGCTATAAATATTTTTGTACAAATAGGTCCTTTTACCTTTTTTTTTTGGAAGTCTTTGGGATATAGACCTAGCAGTGGTATTGCTGGATCAAAGGGGATGCACAGTTTGATTGCCCTAGGGCATAGTTTTTAATTGTTCTCCAGAATGGTTGGATCAGTTTACAACTCTACCAACAGTGCAATAGTGTTCCAGTTTTCCCACATCCCCTCTAAGATGTATCATTTTACTTTTTTAACAGATTAGCCAATCTGACAGTATGAGATGGTACCTCAGAGTTGTTTTAATTTGCATTTCTCTAATCAGTAGTGATCTAGAGCATTTTTTTTTATGTGACTATAGATAGCTTTGATTTCTTTGTCCAGAAACTGCCTGTTCATATCCTTTGACCATTTATCAATTGGGGAATGACCTGTATTTTTATTAAATAGACTCATTTGAGAAATAGGGCTTTTATCAGAGATACTTGTTGCAAACTTTCCCCCCAGTTTTCTGTTTTCCTTCTAATTTTGATTGCATTGGTTTTATTTGTGCAAAAACTTTTAAATTTTATATAATAAAAATTATCTATTTTACATGTTGTAATGCTCTCTATTTGGTCATAAATTCTTCCTTTATCCATAGGTCTGACAGATAAGCCATCCCATGCTCTCCTAATTTGCTTATGGTATCACCCTTTATGTGTAAATCATGTACCCATGTTGACCTTATCTTGATATACGGTGTGAGATGGTCTATACCTTGTTGTGCTGTACTGTTTTACAGTTTTCCCATTATTTGTCAAATAATGAGTTTTTCTTCCAAAAATTTGGATCTTTGGGGTTATCGTATACCAGATTACTGTGGTCATTTACTATAATGTAATTTGTACCTAATCTATTCCACTGATTCACCACTCTATTTCTTAGCTAGTACTAGATTGTTTTGATAATTACAGCTTTATAATACCGTTTGACATCTTGTATGGTGAGACTGAAATGGTTATTCTTAAAGATTTTAGTAACTTCCTTTCCTAGGAAAGACTTGAATAATTTCTTTTCCTAGGAAATTATTTATCACAGAAACTTGCTAGAAAGATTTTTCCCCCCAGTTGACTGTTTCCCTTCCAATATCAACTACTTGGTTTTGTTTGAATGAAAACTTTTAAATTTTATTTAGATAAAGTTACCCATATTATCTTCTATGGTCCTCTTGATTCCTTTTTTTGGTAATGAACTCTTCCTGCATCCGTAGATGGGAAAAGTAATTCCTTCCTTGCTTCTCAAGTTTATGATATAAGCTTTTATGTCTAAGTCATGTGCCTCATTTGGAGCTTATCTTGGTAAATGGTGTGAGATGTTGGGGTCTAAACCTAATTTCTGCCTGACTGCTTTCTAGTTTTCCTTGCAGTCTTTACATGGGAGGGAAAGGAAACTAACGAAGGAACTAATTGGAAAGCTAATTGTTTGGAAGGCTAATTGCTGGCTTTCTGCTTTGAACACTCTCCGAAGTTGACTGAAGGCAGCAAGTGGCCATGTGGATGGAGGACTGATCTTGGAGTTAGGAAAACTTGAGTTTAAATCCTGCCTCGGATACTTGCTAGCTCTGTGACCCTTGACAAGTCTTACTTAACCTCTCAGCCTCAACTTCCTCTTCTGTAAAATGGGTATAATAGCATCTACCTCAAAGGGTTGTTCTGAGGATTAGCTAAGTAACTAAAGTATTTTGTAAACCTTGAAGCGCTGTATCAATGCCAGCTATCATCATTATTATAATTATTATTAACAAACTATATTCTGAGCCTGTTAATCGGTGCATTTAGGGAGATGCCTCCTCACATTTCTGAGTTTGTTGCTTTTTTTAAATTTTTTATTAATTTATTTTGGCTTATCAACAATCACTTCCATAAGCTTTGAGTTTGAAGTTTTTCTCCCCCTCCTTCCCCCCGACGGCCCTCAATCTGATATAGGCTTTACATGTAGATTCCTATTAAACGTAGTTTGTTGGTATTTCTTGAAGATCGTGATGCTTGTAAAAGAAAACCCTCTGCTGGCCGAGGAGGACGCCCTGAAGAGATGCTACCGTGTGATGGACCTGATCTGTGAGAAGTGTATGAAGCAAAGGGACATGAACGAGGTCCTGGCCATGAAGGTGCATTACATCAGCTGCATTTTCCAGAAATGCATTCAGTTCTTGACCGAGCGAGAAGACAAGCTGGACGGTTTCATCAAAAGGTGGGATAACGGTTCTTGCAGGAGGAGGGATGGGGCCGTGGCGTGAGAGCGAGCGTGGGCTCTACCAGGCCTGCTGCTAAAAACCTCGGGCCAGCTCTTCATTCCTCTGGGCCTCAGTTTCCTCGTCTGTAGAATGAGACAGTCAGACTAGATAAACTCCCAGGCCCCTTCTAACTCCGAATCTCAAATCCTGGGACATCTCTGTACGTCTGTAACAATGGGTTGTGTTGCTGCAGTCGAGTCTACAGCTTTTGTTAAGTTCCTGCTGTGAGCCAGACTCTGCATTAAGTGCTGGGGATACCGAGAGAGGCAAAAATGGTCTCTGCCCTGGAGGAACTCACAGTCAGATGGAGAGACGTGAGCTTGTCTGCGGGAGAGCCAAGCCCCGGGCCAGCGCACGGCCCCGCGTCCACCTCGATGGGGCTGCCTCTGGTATTGGGGTCGTCCAAGAGTGGGGGTGGGATTCCCGACTCTGCTTACGGCCATGGGGCCTCCCCATGCTGCCTCAGTTACCGTATCTGTAAAATGAGAGTGTTGCAGCAAATGATGCCAAGGCCCCTTCCAGCTCTGAGACTGTGACCCTTTCACGTGGACAGGCTGTGGCATCGCTAAATTAACTGCACTTCTTACCAGTGATAAGTGATATTTGACAAAAGGGTGAGACACAGCAAATAGGGATGGGGAAGGGTCTCCTATGGAAGAGACTCGAAAGAAACTAGGTGATGGAGAGGAAGAGGGGAGGCTTTCTAAGCGTGGGAGAGCCGGCGAAAATGCCTGGAATCTGGAAATGGGATGTGCTGTTTGAGGAACATCGAGGAAGCCAGGGCTGCTGAGTCACAGAGTGTGTGGTCGGGGGGAAGAGTGTAAGGTATGTGAAGAGAGCAGGTTAGGAGGGCTCTGAGTGCCAAAGAGAAGGACGGGGGTGAGGTGGGCAGCCCTCCCCCAATCTGAGGTGATCACTTTGACAGCTGAATGGAGGAGAGACCTGAGCCAGGCAGGCCCTCTTCCCCCGAAGCTGCTGCTGCAGTAGTCTAGGCAGGACGTGGCGAGGGCCTGCACCAGGTGGGGCCGTGTCCGAGGAGAGAAGGGGACCATTGCAAAGCAAAACGAATGGGCCTTGGCCCCAGACTGGATGTGGGGGAAAGCCAATAAGGACTAGAGGATGACCACTGGGTGCCAGGAGGAGGAGGATGGTGGTGCCCTAACAGTAATGGGGAAGGGGAGGGTCCCTTTTGGACGTGTTGAGTTGGAGGTTCCATTTTACAGAAGAGTGCCCTGGAGGCCCAGAGAGGGTCTCACAGATAGTGAAGGTCAGAGGGGTGTTTAAACCAGGCCTTCCAGCTCTCACGCACTAGGCCACTCGGCCTCTCCTTTTTACATATGAAGTAACAGCCCCTGGGAAGATGAGCCTGTGAACATGTTCCTGCTTTTTTCCTCTCTAGTTTGTTAAAAGGCCGAGAGACAGACGGCTTTCCCGTCTACCAAGAGAAGTTCATTCGAGAGTGTATTCGGAAATTCCCTTACTGTGAAACCACGCTCCTCCAGCAGCTCGTCAGAAGCATTGCCCCCGTGGAAATTGTAAGACTCCCCTCGAGCCCAGAGAGCCGGCACTCAGGCAGGGCTACAGGGTGGGGGCAGCTAGGAGCCATGGGTCATTGGATTTGTTCTTCTGGGAGGGGCAGTGAAGAAGTGTTTGCCTGCACCTCCCACTCTGATTTGGGCCAAATTGTTCAAATTACCAACCCTCAGACATAGAAGGGACCTCAGAGACCACCGATGGGATGTGTACACCCCGAGCGAGAATCCCCACTTATATCCCCAGCCAGTGGTCATCCGGCCATGGCTCAGTGAGGAGGAGCCCACCCCCACCTGAGGCAGCCCCTTCCATTCTGGGGTGACTGGCATGGGGGGAGGTGCTGTCCAGCCACTCCAGGGACATAGGAAATCATGGACCTTTAAACCCATAAAAAGAGAGCAGTGACTGAGCTGCCCTCTGGTCAAAACCAGTGCTTAGCACAGTGTCTGGAAGCCAGTAAGATATTACTAAATGCTCGGTGGCTTGGTGGCTGGTCATTCCTATTTCCTAACCCGAACCTTCCAAGACAAAGGGATGGCCATTCTATTCTCAGTGACCCATGGTGCCTAGAGATGTAGGAAATCCTTCTTTGGTACCCTTGGGGTGATGATTTTCGTATTCTCAGTTTTCCTGCTTACCCCCAGTACAATCACTTGGAGTCTGCTTTTTCATTAAGAAGAGACAGGAGAGGCCTAACTGTCCTGAATTAGCGATTTTGGCTGCTTGAAATGTAAACTCCTTAGTACTGTTTTATAAATGCACCAAGTTAAAATATTCCTATTGCCTTAAGGCCCACGTCTTGGTTGTGGTTTCATGCTCTGAGGATGGTGGGCCAGGGTGGACCCTATGGGGCGATGGTTGTGATTTCACTTTTGTGTTTATGTTCGATGCTCGTCTGGAGATCTCACTGTCCCCTTTGTCCTCTGACTGTGCCATGCCCTGCTTTTCTTCTTCAGGGCTCTGATCCTACAGCCTTCTCTGTGCTCACTCAAGCCATCACTGGTCAAGTGGGATTTGTAGATGTGGAGTTTTGCACCACGTGTGGAGAGAAGGGTGCAGACAAGAGGTGTTCAATGTGTAAAATGGTAAGATGAGCAGTCGATTGCAGCATAACACCCTGCTTGAATGGTAATCCCAATGGATTCCGAGGCAGCACAGACATGTCGATGGGTCTGCCATCTCCTTGGTATGGGTGCTCCTCCAACATGGCACATTATACCCCATCGATGTCATTGTATCCCACGCAAACTGTCCACATCCCCCCATAAATCATCCACGAGGGATTTACCCACTGAGCCAGGGCCTGCTTGGCGTTGTGTGGACGCTGGGAGAGCACCAGGGCTTTCCACTTCCTATCCCCTCTGGCCTCCTTTTGTCTGGTCAGGGAGCTTTCTGCCAGCGTCCTTTTATTTGTCCTTGACTCCTCGTTGGTAAGATGGTACCGCCTACTTGTGGCACTCAGCATAGCGCTTGGCCCATGGTAAGTACATCATAAATGCTTTTTCATTCTCTCTTCATTCATTCATTCACAGAACCATTTCCCAGTCCATTAACCCTTGAGGTCAATGCCCTCTTAATATATATTATTACTGCTTTTCCCAGTCAATTATTATCCTGTTTCTCAACTGACTGGCAAGTTCTCGCCCTAGTCTCTTCCTTGTTGTCTCTCTCAACTCTTCCTACCCTCAACCTCTCTGTTCGGTCAAGCACAATTTGGTCTCAGAGGCTCATTTGAACAGTGTAACTCAGATCATTTCACATCCCGTGCTTTCCAAGGGTGTGCTTAACACAAAGCAGACACTTAACAAATGCTTTCCTTTGGTGGATGAATGTGTTGTCAAAAATCCAGTTTTTCCAGTGAAGAGCAAGTTGGGGGTTTTTCAGGAAATGATTTGAACCAGAAATACCTTCCTTGGTCACTTTCAGGTTATTTATTGCAACCAGAATTGCCAGAAAATCCACTGGTTCACTCATAAAAAAGTCTGTAAGGTGCTGAAGGCTGCATATGAGAAGCAAGAGCTGGAAGCTGCCAAAGACAAGAAGAGGCAAGAAGAGGGACCAGCCCAGGGTGAGCAGGTTTGGTGGAGGGAGCTCCTCTGAGTTCTCAGGCCCCGGGGTTTGAAGGTGGGCAGTGGAAAGGTGAGCTACACCACACCAGGCAGCTGTACCCCTACCCTCAGGAGAATGGAAGCTCTTGGAGGGCTGGGACTGAATAATTTTTTATCTTTGTACCTCTCCAGAATTTAGTATAATGACTTCTTTATAGTAAGTGCTTAGTAAATGTGTGATGAAATGAAATGGCTCTTTTGGCAGCAGCACAGAGAAGGAAAAAGAATTGCAGTTTGGGAGAGATCAGCATTGGAAAGGCTCACTGAACCCTGATTCTAATAACTTATCCTGCCATGGGGTGACAGGCACAGGAAATGCTGATCATACCTCTGACATTCAGGAGGGGACAGTGGCTTTCCTACTTCTTGGGATGCTAAACCTGTGATTTTATGGGTGTGGAAAGTTCCCACTGTGGAAATCCTCTTTCCAAAGGCAAATTGACAACCCCTATGTAGCTTATAGTCTTAGAGTATTGCCTGGAGCACTGAGGTTGAATGACTCGTCCATGGGCACATAGCCACTATGTGCTAAGGAGCGGGACGTGAACCGAGGTCTTACCAACTCCAAAACCAGCCGCCCTCTATCTACCGTTCTAGACTTTTAGTACTCACTCACTTCCAATTTCTACCTCCCAATTTGGAACATTGGTATTATCCTCCACTCCTCACTATCTCTCACCCCACATGGCCAATTAGTTGCCAAACCTCATCATTTCTGCTACCACTGCTTCTCTTTCATCTGGCCCCTTCTCACTGTTCACGTGGCCACCAGCTTCGTTGTGGCCCTTGTTACAGCTCACCTGAATGATTGCAACGACCCCTGAATTGGTCAAGTCCTGGGTCTGACACGTACTACTTGTGTGATCCCCCAGTGCCCACAAAGCTCTCTCAGACCTAAAGGTTAAAGATGCCAGTGGAGGGGGTTTCCACCCTGGGAATTCTCTGCACCAGTGAAATCACAGAAAAGGCCGTGGTGGAGAGGTGGAATGTGAGTTGTTGTTATTGTTCAGTCGTTTCCATCCTGTCTGACTCTCTGTGACCCCATTTGGGGTTTTCTTGGCAGAGATACTGGAGGAGTTTGCCATTTCCTTTTCCAGCCCATTTTACAGATGAGGAAACTGAGGCAAACAGGGTGAAATGACTTGCCCAGGGCCACACAGCTAATAAGCGTCTCAGTCTGGATTTGAGCTCAGGAAGATGAGTCTTTCTGATTTCAGACCTGGCACTCTATCCACTGTACCACCTAGCAGCCTGGTGGCATTTCAGCGTGTCTTTTTTCTTTCTCTGTGTCTCAGTCTTCTTGCCTACCAAATACAGGGTTTGAAGTACGCTTTCAGGGAGGCCCTGTCCTAGAGGTAGTGTGGTCCAGTGGAAAGAGTGCTGAACTTGTAGACACAGGACCTGAGTTGCAGTCTTGGCACTGCCGTTTAAGATTCCTTTGAACCACGATAAGCCACTAAGCCTCTCTGGGCCTCAGTTTCCTCATCTGTAAAATGAGGGGGTTCACCTACATGATCTTTGAGGCCCCTCCCAGCTCAAGCTGTATGCTCATGTGAAGGTACTTAACATCCTTTGGGCTTGATTCCTCATCAGTAAAATGGCAGGGCTGGAGTGGATGCCCTCTGAGGCCCCTTCCAGCCCCAAGTCTAGTCTCCTGCAGTCCCAGGAAGTGATTTGTCCAGGATTGGACCATCCTCAACTGACTTCCTGATTGTAATCACCTCCATTCTGCTCACTCAGCCACCCTCCCCTAGATGTGTAGGTGTGAACACGATTATCAGCCCCTGAAAAGGACAGTAGCTCTCAGTGAAATGAGCAGGTCATGAGGTCGAGAACACGACGGTTGGCACAGGCTGGTACTCACCGTGTGACTTATCTTTTTTCCTTAGAAAAAGAGCCAGATGTCGATTCCAATTCATCTAATGAGGAGCAGCCAGAAACGGACCCTGGAGACACCAAAGAGGACCCCACAGATCTGGCCCAGGAAGAAAAGGCCCATGTGAAAGAGGCCCCCCAAATAACTCCGGGGGCAGCCGGTGACACTGGCGTCCAAGGCATGGTAGGGAGTGTGAAGGAACCAGAAGAGTAGGGCCCAGCTGGGTCTGTAGGTTTGCAGTGTATGAGACAAACAGCCCAGCCCTCTTTCCCATGGAGGTGTGAGGCATGCGAGGCATCAGGGGGTTGTTCCACATTAGACAGAGCCCACGCTTTCATGGATCTGTGCTCTCACTCCAGTGGGTAGAGGTCACAGCTCATTCACCCCTTCTCATCCCATGTGGCCCTTATCCACGTCCTCTGGGAGGCCCCCACCCATCATGCTGGAGGGCTTCACTCCATCTCTAGACGTGGTGTGGAGGCCAGTCGCATGCCCAGGGTACCCATCAGGCACCCCTAGTTCTCACTAAATGACTGGCTCACCTTTGCCAGGCAACCCTTTGCTATCACATTCACAGCTTTTCCTCCATGTCTGTCACTGGCAGGATGTTACAGCCACCCCACCCCACCCCCCAGCAGAGTATCTGAATCAGACCAAACATGTACAGGGCAGGGCTGGGCTTGCCATGCCACCATTCTGAGGGAGGAAGGGCATCTCATTTCAAGATATTTGAAAGAAGGAAGGCTTGCAAACACTTGGGGAAAAGTCACAGACTTAATTATTATCAAATAGGTTACTCAATCAACAAACATTTATTAAGTACCTACTATATGCCAGGCCCGTGCTAAGCCCTGGGGATACCAGTACAAAGACATAGGTTATAAATAGAGCGGTCACCTGACCAGGCCATGTCAGCATGGACTGAAAGTCCCATATCTATGGAATCTGAGAATAAGGTATTTCCAGGGTGTCCTAGATGCAGTTGTGAGAAGGGAGCACGTGGGCTTTTGTCACTACAGCAAACCACAAGTTACGGGCACACGATCTACTGAAAGTTGCCCATGCATTTCGTGTTTGTTCCACGCTCGAGGCTGACTCCGACTTTGAACCTGTCTCCTGTGCACGTGTCAACATGAGAGGAGATTCCTTCAAAGATATGGCAGGTGGACCTCTGAGGAGCTGCTACTGTCCAGGTGTAGCCCAGCATGAAGCCAGGACGCTTGGACTGGCTAAGGGTGTGTGCCAGCTGCCTGCTGGCCGCCATCACAGTCTGAATGGCACTGGATATGGTGAGGGCACCAGGCCCTCCTGCTGGTGAAGGCTTTTGTTCTGACAGCACTGAGCACTAGAGCAGTGCCAAGCCTCCTCAATCCCATCACCTCCCCACTTTGCTGAAGAGTGGTCCTCGGAGCAAAGCTGCCCGTCACCCCATAGTTTCCCACTGACTTCCAGCAATAGTAGGAGCTGCATTACCTGGGGAAATAGCTTTTTTCGAAGCTGGAAGGTTACCTCTCTGTGCTTTCCCACACCCAGCTCAAAAGTTTGCCGAGACACTCCATTCCACTCGGTCCCCTTGCCTGCTCCAGAGCACACGTTTTATCTAACCTTCTAGGAAGCAGGAAAGGCACCAAATGGAAAGGAAACGGTGAGACGGGGCTGGCTCGTGCCCCTTACAGCACTGCCCCTTTGATAACATCTCCTCTCAGGGTCACGTAGCTTCACCCATCTGCTAACTGTAGGATTGTCAGAAACCCAAGGGAAGAAAACAGAAGATAAGGAGCCAGAGAGACATGGAACAGAGTCAGGGGATGCAGGGGGCTTCTGACAAAAGGAGTGACGTTCCCTGGAGTTGGCCTGAGTCTGGGATAGTGGGGAAAACCCTGGAAGTGGGAGTCCGAGCACCTGGGTTTGAATCCCATCTCTGGTATTATCTGTGTGATCTCGGGCAAGTCATTTAACCTCAGTTTCTTCATCTGTAAATTGAAGTGGTTAGACTATTCCTCTAACCTCCTGCCCACCTTTAAAATCCCTACTCCTGTGACCGACCCGGGAAAATCCTATAATTCAGAGAATGCTAAATTATGCCCTGATTGCCACCTCTGGATCTTGTACGTAAGTGTGATTGCATCCCTAGGTGCTACGTGGAGGGAGATATGCGTGCTAGTTGACCTAATGACTCTTGCTTGCCGGGGAGGGAGGCAATCGCCATGACTGACTGACCGCTACCCGAGCTGTCTTCACTAAAGCCCTTCATAAAGGGGGTTGGGGCTGCAGAGTCTCACAGAAGGAAGCCCAGCCAGGGATCTGTTCATGTGGGTTGTCTTCTGCGCTCTCTGTTTAAGGATAATTAATGGAATGTCTCGACAAATGATTATCTAGCAGGCCAGTTGGGTGCATGAAATCTTCCCAGTTCTGCTTCTCTGAAAAGTCCTCCGAAGTCTTGTCTGGGCTTCCATCCCTGTCCTCTGTGTGTGTGTGTGGGGGGGGGGTGCCCACGGATCCACCCAGATTTGGAATGTCCCATTCAGAAGGCCACGTGGGCACAAGCTAGCTGACCTAAAATGCGTGGCATCTGAGAGGAGGCTGCCCCACCCTTCAGTCTCTTGGAGAATTGAAATAAACATGCCTCCTCATCCTTGTTTCTCACATCTCTCTTTACTGTACTGGAGGCTCACTCATAAAAGTGGCTGGAATCCTCTAAAGTGCTTTGTTGGTCTAACCTCAGTTATGTTCTGCCACGGGGAGGGGGGAAGAGAAGGGTAGGTGAGGGTGGGTGCCAGGTGGTAAGGTTTTATTGGGCTTTGTCTTCGGAACGCTGCCCCTCTTTGAAACACAAGGTTGTATGGAAACACCTCACCAGTGTAAAATGCCAGGGGGTCTTTCTAGGCCCGGAAGTCTGCCATGTAACCAGTGCCTCTGGGCCCCATTCTTTCTTAGCAGTAGTTTGGTTCTTCTAGCAGCCTTGAATCCCAGAATCTCAGAAGTCTGATCTGTGAATCCACAAATACAGCCCCAAGTCTCTCGGGAGAATCACTAATTTCATCTCATCACTGGAGCAATTAAGCTATAACTGAACACAAACATTCTCATTCTGTTTTGGAATACTTTAAATGCCTGCGAATTCTTAGATGCTGTTTATGACCAGATATTCAGAAGAGCCTTCCCTTGGCCTCACCAGGTCACCCACCATGTTCTCTCTCTCCCCCTTGCTCTGTCCAGCTGTCTGAACAGGTAGCCTCACTTTCAGCTTCCAATTACCCTAAGGAGCCCCTCACCTTCTGGCTTCTGTCCCCACTGAGGTGCTGAAACTGCCCTTCAGGGGTCGCCCCAAACTTCTAATTGTTCTAACTGGAGAGTATCCCTAGCGGGGTGGTGACGGCCCCTCGTTTGTGACAGGTGGACATTAGTTGGAGGAATCTGGGACGTTTAGTTTTGAGAAGAGGGGTCATACAGAGGAGGAAGTCATTTCATCCCATTTGGTCTCAGAGGTCAGAACCAGGGCCAGTGAGTGGAGGCTACAACGAGGCAGATTTGAGCGGGGTGTCCTGATGGCAAACATCCTAACAGCTGCCCCAAAGTGGGATGGCCCATCTAGAGAGGAGGTGACCTCCACCTTCACCTGGAGGTCTTCCAGAAGAGCCTGGATGGCCCCGGTCAGGGAGGGGTGTTGTTGTAAACAGAATAGTTAAGTTTCCTTCCAAGTCGTGAGATCCTGAGGCATTCCCTGCTCTCAAGGGTACAAAGAAATCTTACCTCTGCCTTCCCAGGATCCTCTCGCAGCGCCCTGTGTGGAGCTGGCAAATTGCAAATGTTCATCCTTCATTTCTGAAGAGGACCAATGACGTTCCAGGGTGACTTGGAGTGAACTGGATATAAGGGAGGTAAATTTGCTCACTCGTCAGCCTCATGGTCCCTGCTAAGGGAAGGAATGTAGCCCAAGGTCGCTGCTAGCCTTTACTTTGCACGTGTACCTCTGGGTTCGGGGGCATGTGACAAGTACATTGCACAGCCCCCTAGATCCAAGTTCAGACCATTTTAGGAAAGTAAGTGACAGGCCCTGAAGTCTAGGTTTCTGAACTTAGACAAAAGATGCTGACTTCTGGGAGGCAGCTGATGGGGGTCCTGACCACACTCCTACTGAAGGTGAATAACAGGCCTACCTTCCAAAAGGCTCTCCCAAGAGCATCTTCAGATCTGTCTTCTTGGATAGCAGCCATGGCCCTCCACTGGAGTGTCTGCTCCAAAGGGACCTGCTAGACTGAGCCCCTCACCTGACTGGGCTGCCAGCCTTGAGATAGCAAGGTGATGTAGCGGATAGAGCACTGGACCTGGAGCCAGGAAGACCTAGGTTCAAAACCCACCTCTGACACTAGTGGTGTGATCCTAGGCACATCACTTCTTGTCTCCGAGACTCAGTTTCCCCATCTGTAAAATGGGGAGACTGAATTTGCTGGCTTCTAAGGTCCCTTCCATCTTTAAGTCTATTAGCCTGTGGTCCTATATCCATCAATGCCTGGGCCCCTTCCTATCTGACCCTGACCCTGACCCTGACCCTGGCCCAGGCAAATGCTCCCTACAACAGAACCATAGATGATACCTTCTCTACCCCTTCAGAATCTTTAGCTGGCTTCCTTCCCTTGGCCAAAATTCTCACCTCATTCGGAGCCACGTTTATTTCTTTAGCCCTTAACCTCAACCGTGTCATAGGAACATAGATTAAGAACTAGAGACTGTAAGCACCTTGGGACCAGGCAAGGACTGTCTGCCTTTGTATCATGCCCACTTCCCACAGTGTGCCAGACAGGAATCTGCATACAACATACACTCCGAAGATCGCATCCAATGTTCATTTAAGTGTAATTTCAGAAAACCATTCTCATGGAGACACTAAACAGAAATACCTCCCTGCCCCAAAGCTCAGGGGAAAGTGCCCTGCCGTTATCTGATCGTGACTGTTGTCCACTCAGTGGGTCTCTCTGCTTTGCTCTCGCAATGCCGCTCAGCTCTGGTGGGGACAGTATCCCAATCCACAAAGTTAAACTGGGTCACAGATCTCTTCATTGACCTCACAAAAACAGCATCTTCTTTATTGTGAAACAAGTTCCTTAAGGGGGAAAAAATGGCTGTTAGGAAGAAAAAGCCACCAGCAACCTGCTCCAAATAAATATCCTCTTATTAAAAATTAAGAAATTCATTTAACCGACATTAAGAACCCAGTCGGTGCAAACCCTTGTCCTCAAGCACCTCGTATCTAAAGTGTATTTTCCAATCTCTTCTGGACCACTGAGATAATGACCAAGGGGCTTTCATGTGGCTCCTAGTCACTTTTATGCTAATCACATACCTTGTTTACTCTAAATTCTGCGATTCTATTGGGCCACATTTGGAGTTTAGTTGTTAAAGTTTATGCTTTCAGAGATCACAGATTTGTGGCTATAAGGGACTTTAGAGGTCAACTTGTCCAAGCCTCACATTTTACTGATAAAGAACCACACCTCACAGGGGTGAAATTGTTGGCCTGGAGCTCACAGCTGGGATTCGAACCCAGGTCCCCACACTTCAAAGTCAAGGCTCTTTCTGCTTCACTTTGTGATACTGAGATTCCTGTTTAAAATCACAGGATCAGGGGCAGGTAGGTGGCACAGTGGATAGAGCACCGGCCCTGAAGTCACACTTAACTAGCTGTGTGGCCCTGGGCAAGTCACTTAACCCCAATTGCCTAAAAAAATTAAATAAAAAATAAAATCACAGGATCAGAGCCCTAGAGCTAGAAGGTTTCTCAGAGGCCCATTTAGTCCAAGCCCCTCATTTTACAGAAGCTGAGGCATGGGGAAATAAGGAGAATTGGGCAGGGTCACATGGTAGTAGGTGCCAAAGCTGAGATCTGAACCCAGGTCTTCTGATTCAAAATCTTGAGCTCTTTCCATCATGCCACACTGCTTCTCTTTATTACATTTGATTCATATTTAAAAATCAACGTCTGCATGTCTAATTGCATTTATCTTAGCTTTCATACAAAACAGGACAATGAAAACTCCATTAAGATAAAGAGGCAGCCGTGGCTCTGCCACTTACTAGTTGTGACTCTTGGCAAGATGATGCATGAGGGGTTTAGACCAGGTCCTCGGCGGTCCTGCAGGCAGCTTCCAACTCTAATGTTCTGAGAAAGCTTGGGTCCAATTTATGGACCTGGGTCTATATGCAGAAACGCACCCACAAACTAGCTCCGTGACCTGGGGCTCTGACCTGCCACGTCGGAGGTTCAGTTTGTTTCTGAAGACACAGGCTGGGCCAGGTCGTCAGAACCCACACAGGTGCCTGGCCCCACCTTACAACCAGAGGAATGCAGGCCAGGGCACTCTCTTCAGAGCTGGCCAACTGGGGAGAACCCCAGGGCGCCTGTCAGCCCTGTTCCATGCAGCCTCAAGGCTGGGTATAGGGCCTGTCACCAAGGGAGCTAGGGGACAGAATGGACAGAGGACTGGATTTGGAGTCAGGAAGACCTGAGTTTTATATATATATATATATATTTATATATAATATGTATATATAATATGTATACATTATATATAATATATATACATATATATATAAAATATATAACAATATGAAACAAATACTCCTCTCATTTAAAATTGTAATAATTGCATTGAAACCCTGAAATTTTTTAAGTTTGAATAAAGATTTTATCCCAGGAAAATGCAACAGGTTTGTTTTTTGTTTTGTTTTGTTTTGTTTTCTGCCTAGTTAAGGTCATATGTCTGTAATTTCAATAAAAAAATACTTTCAGAAATGGCTCAAATATTTGGGCATTTACAAACCAAGACCTACACAACACCTGCAAAAATACAACTATCAAAGAACTGAATCGGAAGAGAAAAATAAAAATAAAGACTGGAGAGAAATGCAGTAGACATGATTCGGTAATGCCCATCTAGTAAAAATGGCAATGAAATCTAAACTAATATCTAGGCTTAATAATATATGGATTCAAATTTCAATGGTATCTTTGCAAAACTAAAAAAAATGGAATAATAAAATTTTTATTGAAGAACAAATGACACAGATATCAAGGGGAATTAGGGAGGAAGGAAGACGAATTGAAAATTGTGTTATTCTAGACCGGGGTTGTCAAAAACACCTCGGTTTGCTCCTGATTGTCGAGCCAGATTAAAATGTAAATGGGAAATATTTAACAAGATTAACGCAAATTCAGTAGAACATAGATGATGGTAATATGTGGTTTTCTCAAGTGTATGGCCAGAAGGGATCCTATGTATGTTTCAAAGGCCCTGGTTTCTACTTGAGTTTGACACCATTGTCCTAGACCACATTATAATATAAAAATAGTGATGGTCAACACTATATGGTACTAAATATGAAAAATAAAATTTAATCAGTGGAATAGCATAGATAATTTAGATTAGAATCAAAAGCAAGTTTATAAATGAATATTTGAAACAAGATTATAAAAACACTGTGGAAGGAAACTACTATTCAAAAGAAACTCTGGGGAAACTAGTATTATGTTAGAAAATAGGATCTGATCTTCATCTTACACCATACACCATTATAAATTTCAAGCAGATCAGTATCCTAAATCTTTAGAAATCATTTTCAAAATGAGAAGAAAAATAAGTGAATAGAAGAGATAAGGAAAAATGGTGTCACTTGAACAAAAAGAAGATAAGATAAAACAGAAAAAACCTAAGAGCTGATATGGCATAATCGATTGATAACTGTCATTAGGAAGGCTAAGGACTGAGTCACTTTGGGTAAGTCACTGCCCTGCTCTCACCTCTCTTAGACTAAGTTTTAGAACAGATGTGGCTCTGGGATAATATAGGGAGTTAACTGATAAAATAACATCTCTAGCACACACACACACACACACACACACACTTGACATTTAAAATCTATAAGGATTCGACAAAAATTGATAAGTGAACAAGTAAATGTTGGAGGAAGATGCACAAATTGTCAATTTGGAAAAATGTTTCCAAATGCTACTAACCAGAGAAATGTCAGTAAAGCATCTCTGAAAACCCTCCAAACCCCCATTAAACATGAAGGTGAAGCCAGTACTCACCTGCAGAGGTATGTAGGCGGTACTGCTTCTAAAATGACAAGAGATTTTCCATTAGTCTTCTTCAAACATCTATGCTACATTTGAAAACATCTATCCTGCCTCTAAAAACCATTACTAAATTGTCCTCCCTTCTTCGATGAGGAGCTCAGCACAGTATTTCTCTCCACCTAAAACACTGCCCTTTATATACAGGACGTCAAGTGAAGGAATGAATGAGCAAGCATTGACCAAGCCCTGCCTGTGCCATGCACTGTGCTGGGGGTGGTGAGAAGCTCACATTCTGCTATGCTGATTGCTGCCCAGCTCACCCATTCTTTTCTCTTAGCTGTACCTTCTCTGCACCTCAGCCAAGGATCTGGACGCTCTTGCCCTTGGTGTCATCACTCAAAAGTATGCGCACTTCCACAATCCGCCACTCAAAAATTCCTCCGTCCCATCTAACCAACTGGCCAACGGTTCTCTGTGCCTCACCCCTCAATGGATTTAGCAATCCCTTCTCTCTCCTCACTCCAACCTCCAATCTGTCCACCATCTCCTTTGCCAGGCCATCTCCTCTGTTCTGGTCTCACTCTTCCTCCATTCAGAACTAGTTTAACTTTCCTCTGTGGTTGACCCTGAAATGCCTGGCCCCATTGCCCTGTCATCCCTTTCCAGACCCCAGCCCTGCATCACTCCCACCCTCTGCCTTCCCCACTCCAGCCCCACCATGCACAGGAGGAAGTCCCACAACCATCCTGAATCCACTACAAATGTGTTATCCAGCCTCCTGGAGGCGCCCCCCTTTGACACGTCTTTGGTTCTATCACATTCCCCACTGGGCCTGTCCCATATCTCTTCTCAAACTTCCCTCACTGCCTCAGCATAAGACCTACATCATACTGCTCCGGGCAAAAACAGTGCCCCGTTTCCCCAGCTCCACTCTCTGAACCACCCTTTGCTCCAGTCTCTGAGTAAGAGATGCCGTGTCTCCCTGTAAATTCCCTCCTGAGCCCTGTTCCCACCCTCTGCTATCATCTCCAGAAGCTTCCCCCAATTTTCTGTCTCTATTTATCCACGGGTGCCTTCCTTGCTGTCTTCAGAAATGCTCAGCTCTCCCTCATCTGTAAAAACCTTCCCTTAATCTTACCATCCTCTCAGCCTACCAGCCTCTATCTCCCCTCCCTTTCACAGCCAAACCCCTAGAAATCTCTCCCTGTTCTGTGACTTCCATTTTCTCCTCTCCACTCACTCCTCAACCATCCTTTGAAATCTGGCTTCCTCTGACCTCAACATTCAGCTAGAACGGACCCTCCAAGGCTTAGGATTTATTGTTGCCAAGTCTAACAGGCTTCTCAAAATCTCCATTCTCCGGACGTCCCTGCTACCTTTGACTTGAAGGGTGAAATCCAGAGTCAGAGAAGGAGCCGGGTTTAAGTCTTCACTCTACTGCGTGACCCTGGGTGAAAAGTTTGAATCTCTCTGGGCCTCTAACCCTCACTTGCTCCTCGAGTTATCTTGACCCACCTCCAGACCTAGAACCTTGGCTTAATTAAACCTTCAATCTCTGCCAGCCCTCTCCTGTTTGAATAGATAGCCTTCTTTTCTTGCCCTCATTGGCACAGCAGATAGAGTGCAAGGCCTGGAGTCAAGAAGACCTGAGTCCAGATCCAGCCTCAGATACTCACTAGCTAAGTGACCCTGGATGAGTCACTTAACCTCTGTCTGCCTCTAGTAAAAAGAGGGTAATAACAGCACCTATGTCTCAAGGTTATTGTCTGAATAAAGTAAGATAATATTTCTAAAGTGTTTTGGAAACTTAAATCACTTTTTAAATGATAGCTTTAATTATTACCCAGGGGATTATGTTCCACCCCTTCTGTTCAATGTGATTCAGAAGTCTTACTTCTCCTGGCCTGACCGGGTCTGCCTTTCTCCGGCCCACGTCTTGCTGGGACATAAAGTGGTCAGAGTTCTTCTGAATGCCCAAATGAAAGGGGAGGTGAGCACAGTGCTTGGCACATCCTTGGTACTTGATAAATGCTGGTGGACTGCTGAGCGGCAATCTACCATTGTTACACCAAAGAAGCAGGGATGAGGGAAACAGAGTCGTTTCCTGTGCAGCCTCTCTTGGGCAAAGAGGGATGGAAAGGCTTTTACCCAGATGCTCGAGGGCCCTCTCCCCCCTGCCCAGGTACCTGACGCCACTGTTGATTGGGGTTTGTAGGGCACCACATATGGTGCCTTGTCCACTTTCCTTCCAAATGCTATCGACTGAAGAATCTGAGACCTTTCATGGTTAAACATATGTGTGGCCATTTTTCTTTCTGTTAATGTAATTTCTAAGAAATAGAAAATTTTAAAAAAAGAATTATTTCCTACTGAATGACCCAATCCACATTTGCATTTTTTAACTTGAAAAAAAATCCATTTTCTAAATGGATTTCAGTCACTGAGGCAGTGAGGTAGGTCAATACATAGATAGAACACTGGACTTGGAATCAAGAAGACTTGAGTTCTAATCCAGCCAGAGACACCATCTAGCTGTGTGACCCTGAGCAAGTCACTTGCCCCAGTTTCCTCATCTATAAAATGGAGGTAATAACTACACTCAACTCCTGATGCCACTGAAAGGATCGAAGGAATGAATATATGCAAGGTGCTTGCAAATCTTAAAGTGCTATAGAATTGTGAGATACATATGCATGAATATATGTCAACAAAACAGAGTTTTATATGTACACATACATATATTTACACATAAATGTATATGTGCACTCACATACATACGTAATTTTAAATTTACATGCATATTTAAAAATCATGAACGGAACTCATTTTTCAAATGTTTATTATCACCATACTGGTATTAAACACCAATGCAATAATACGTCCACTGGTTAGAAGATGCTGTGATCAGGCTGCAATTGAGCAAATATAATTTCATATCTCTTCCATTCTTATTACATTTTTTAAAGTGTGAAACTCTCCATAAAGTTAGGATAAAATTTAGGATTAAAAAAATTAATGAAGTAAATTTTAAGGCACTTAGGAATTTTGAATAAATGTAGCAAACAATTCCAGCTTTTCAAATTAAGTGATTTGAGGTAAAAAAACAAAATTTTAAAAAAAGTGAAATTGTTTTAAAGCAGTTCTCCTCTGGAGGAATCCTTGTGTGTGTCAGAGATAACAATGGACGCATGACAGCAGCATTCATGGTCAGGGCTCTCAGTATGAACAAAGGAAAGAAATGGCTGCATTATTAGATGAACGGGGGGAAACACAGCTGGGGTACGCTTTTTTTCTTTAAGGTTTAGAATTCCCTTAGACCCCTGTATCGGTAACATGAAAGGCTTGACACTATATAAGCTATATATATATATTCCTATTTGATCAGCCTGTAATTCTAAGGGTCTAGGATTTCTTGTTGCTGTCCAGTTGTGTCTGACTCTTTGTGACCCCATTTGGGGTTTTCTTGGCACAGCTCATTTTACAGATAAGGAAACTGAAGCACGCAAGGTTAAGTGACTTGCCCAGGGTCAAAAAGCTAATAAGTGTATGAGACCAGATTTGAACTCAGAAAGATGAGTCTTCCTGTCTCCAGGCCGCTGCTCTATACATTGCACCACCCAACGGCTGCTTGAATTTCTACCTAGAGTGTATTTGGTTTCTTTACTCATCCATTCATTTACTATTCATCCATTAGCTTATATGTTGGCTCATGAGCTTCCTGTGAGTAGGGCTTGTTTCACTCTTTGAATGTGTCCCCAGAGCCTAGCACAGTGTGTCAGGCGTGTTGAAGGCACTTTATTGAAGGCTTGTTGATAAGTGATTGATGTACACATGCGATGAACCACTGCAGGGAGTCGTAAGAGCCTGCACAAATGCCACCGGACACCAACGGGGTTACTAACACGCGGGGACTGCCCCTCCTCGGGGCTTACCCAAATCTGCCAGCTCCATCCTCCGTTTATTGCCACTCCCTCCCTCTGCCCTTGATCCAAGCCCATCACGTTATGGGATCACGGGTTCCGAGCTGGGAGGGACCCCGACTCACTGGGGACAGAGCTGCCCCACGCAGGCAGGCGAGGCTGGCTTTCCCTCCCCACCAAAAAGGAAGGGAAGCCCTCCCTGAGACGGGCTGGCCGGAGCCGTGGCTCCTGCTCCAGCAGATTCCTGAGTGCCCCCGAGGGCATGGCACCGGGATGCCGATGAAGAGTAACACCTACACCTTTTAAGGTTTAAATCCCATAAGGGTTAAAGTGTGCAAAGCACCATACACGCACACGTTATCTGATCAGTCCTGTGAAGTAGGTGCTGTTCATATTCCCAATTTACAAATGAGGAAACTGAGGCTATGAGAGGGTGACTTGACTAGGAATACATAGCTCATAAGAATCTGGGGTAGAATTTGAACTCAAGTCAACTAGCCTCCAAGTCCAGTGGTCTTCAGGCTTAGCAGACGACCCAGCGTGGAGCAGCTCACCACAGACACCCTGCTCGCCACATGCAGTTCTGTTGGGAGACTGAGGCGGTGGGGGCAGAGCCTTCTCTCCCTGGACCCCTGCTGGATCTTTGCCGGGCATCCTTTCCACACCATGGCTAAGCAACCCCGTGGTTAACTGCAGCATGGCCCGTGGGGCTCCCACCGAGGCTGGCATTTTAATTGTTAGCTGTCATGATGGAGGAAGTCACTTACTCAAAGGTCACCCAGGTGATGTGTCAGCGGCAGGATTTGAACTCAGAGCTTGCTGGTTTAAAGTCCAGTGCTCTGTCAATTACATCCCAGACACTCATCAGCTGTTGTGGCTCTTAGGCATTCATTTCATGTTGGCCTGCCTCAATTTCCTCATCTGTAAAATGGGAATAATAATAGCACCTATTCCCAGGGGGGCAGCTAGATGGCAAAGTGAATATAGTGCCAGGCCTCCGACACTTCCTAACTGGGTGACCCCGGGCAACTTACTGAACCCTGTTTGCCTCAGTTTCCCCATGTGTAAAATGAGCCGGAGAAGGAAACAGCAAACAGTCCAGTACCTCTGCCAAGAAAACCCCAAAGGGGTCACAAAGAGCAGGACACGACTGAAAAATGACTGAACAAGAACAAAACCCCCAGGGACGTTGTGAGATTCAAATGGGGTCATATGTAAAGCCCCTACCTGGCTCATAAATGCTGTAATTCCATACACCGGCTCTCTCTGGCAGAACTTATCAGAGCTGCTTCTCTTCTGGCAGAGCCCTGGAGACCCCACGCTCACGTCCAGGCACTTTGAGGCATCAAAGGAGGACCGTAACGAAGATCACAATGATTCTAATTTTTTGTGGGGGGGGGGGGCATCTAGAGATTTGGCCTTGGAGTCAGGAAGACCTGAGTTCAAATCCAACCTCAGATGCCTCCTAGCTGTGCGACCCTGAGCAAGTCACTTAACCTCAATCAGCCTCAGTTTCTTCAACTGTAAAATGGGGATAATAACAGCACCCACCTCCCAGGGTTGTTGTTGTGAGGACTAATGAAATAGCATTTTTAAAGTGCCCTATGATTGCTTGCTATCACTTTAAATTGCTAAGGTCTCCCTTATAGAATCCTCTGGAATCTAACCAAATCCTTACCTTTCCTATCAAGTAGCCACAGGGACGGAAGATGATAGACTGTGTACATGCGATACTGCTTTGCATCCTGGGACAAAGGGTTCCGGTACAGATCTGCAAAGGGGAGAGGCCAAAGCAAACACAGGAAGTCTTACATGTGGCAAATCCTGCCTACAACATTTACTAACTGTATCACCTTGGGTAAGTCCCGTAACCTCTCCTGGCCCCAGGGTCCCCATCTGTAAAACGAGCATAATATCTCCTTCATAGGATTGTTGTGGGGATCACTTGGGACAATGGATGTGAGCTCTTTATGAGCCCTAAAGCACTACAGAAATATTATTATTGTTATTACTTTATGCTATAGGTAACCAGGAAGCCATCAGCTTGGTGGAATGTTAACCCTCAGGCAAGACCTGAGTTCAAACACCTCTGATACCTATTAGCTGTGTGACCTTGGACAAGTCACAAACTCTCTCAGCCTGAATTTCCTCATCTGTACAATGACAGGGTTCGACTTGGTGACCATCTGGTTCTAAATATATGATCCTATGATGTCACTTTAGCACCCCCCACCTGACTTCGTTTCCTCCTCTACAAAGTGAGGGTCCCTTCTCAGCCCAGACTTGAGCCTGTGACTCGGTCAGAAGCAGATGTCCGGTTAGGGAGTATGTACAGAGAGTATGTATAGGGAAGGTGTATAGAGACAGATCTGCCAGGCCTCCTGCTGCTTCCCTTCCAGTAAGAGCTGCCAGGGAGAGAGCTCCTCAGTGTTTCCAAAATGCTCAACTTCCTTTGAGCGGGGGGAGATGGCTGCCGGCATTTCAGGTTCAATCAAGTCTGGACTCAGAATTCTGTCGTCCCTTTTCTAGAGAAACATTACTGCGAGCAGTGGGTAGGCCCCAGACTCCGAGCACCCTTGTTTTGGGTGCACTGAACCAGATCTAACCGCCATTTGCCACCCCGTTTCTGTGAGAAAATGCATTAATTGGTAGGTCTAAACAGGGGCTAGCAAAGGCACTAGGGGACATGCCCATCTGGGATGTAGGGGCTGCCTCTAGTAAGAGCTAAGTGTCCCTAAGAAGCCAATCTTGTAGTGTTTGTATTGGCCTTTCATCTGAAAGTTGGATTTCTGGCAGGCAACAGTAAAAATGACGCATTTGTGTGAAGGGACCTGTATCATTCAGTCATTAGGTGTGGCCCCTGGCAAGTCATTCAAACTCTCTGTGACTTGGTTTCCTCTTCTTTAAAAAAGAAAAATGGATCAGCCTAAGAGGATCTCAGAGAGCCCTTCCGGAGCTGAATTTGTAACTGTCCCTCCTCCCCACTGGCTCTAACTTTGGTTTGTTCTCGAAGATGGAATTAGTTAGGACCTGGAAGGTAGGAGAACAGGCTTGCGAAGGTCACACCAGCAAGAAAGGAAAGGCCCAGGATTCACACCGAGGTCCGTGACTCACCCAACATCATCCAGCTAGCCTATTATAGAGCCAGGATCTGAGCCCAGGTGCTCTGATTATAGACCTAAGGCAGGTCATTCAAAGTGGGTGAGTCCTCTTCTAAAAGCCCCTGGAGGGTCATGGTGATCTAGTGTAACATAAAAGGCGAAGCAATCATGTCCGAGGGGGTGATGGTGGTGGTAGTCATGGTAGTGGTAGTGATAGTGATAGTAGTAGTGGTAGTAGTGGTAGTGATACTGATAGTGATAATAGTAATAGTAGTAGTGGTGATGTACTAGTGTAGTGTAGCTGGTGTACTAGTACTAATAGTAGTAGTAGTGATAGTGATAATAGGAGTAGTAGTGATAATGGTGGTGGTGGTGGTAGTAGTAGTAGTAGCAGTAGTAGTGGTAGTAGTAGTAACTGGACTTAAGAAGACTTGAGTTCAAATCTGATCTCAGATACTTCCTAGTTGTATGACCCTGGGCAAGTCACTTAACTCTGTTTTCCACAGTTCCCCATCTATAAAATGAGCTAGAGAAGGAAATGGCAAAGCACTTCAGTATCTTTGCCAAGAAAAGCCCAAATGGGATCATGAAGTGTTAGACATGACTGAAAAATGACTGAACAACAAAAGTAATAGTGATAGTAGTAGTGATGGTGGTGGTGGTGGTGGTAGCAGTTGTATTAGCAGTAGTAGTAGTAGTAGTAGTAGTGGTGGTGGTGGTGGTGGTGGTAGTAGTAGCAGTTATAGTAGCAGCAGCATCAGTGATAGTAAAATTAGTAGTAAGGTACTGTTTCTATAGGACTTTAAGGTTTGCAAAGCACTTTCTTTACATACAGGTGGATGGGTCTGTAGTCAGGAAGACCTGACTTCACAGATGGCTTCCTGCTCTTACTGTGTGACCCTGGACAAGTCACTTTGCCTGTGTCTGCCTCCTTTTCCTCAACTCTAAGAAGGCATTAATGGGGAGGTAGTATCTATCTCCCAGGCTTTCCGTGAGGATTAAATCAGATGTCTATCAAGCACTCTGGAAACCTCCAAGCACTATACCAAGGCTAGCTAGGTCCATGAGGCCCGTACCACAAGCATTGCTATCCCCATTTTACAGATTAGGAAACTGAGAATCAGAGAGGCTCGTGAGTGTCTGGGGCCACATTCAAACCTGAGTCTTCCTGCATGGCAGCACAGCAGGGCTTTGCTTCCTCGCTAAGCAGAGGGCTCCGTACGGCCCTAAGTGGCCCTGGGTGGCTGTCCACGCAGACCAGACGGACGACCTGCTCTGTACCTGTCCAGGAAGGTGTGGGTGGGTCACTGCCTTCCACAGGGGCCACGTCTGAGTTTAAAGCGGCAGCCAGCCAGCAGAGGGCAGCAGAGGGCAGCAGAGCTTGGCTCTGAGTGATGCCCGTGGCTGGGGACGGTTAACAGCAGCAGGCTGCCCCAGCAGAAGACTGGCGGGTGCAGGGGGTGCAAACACCTGCGGGCCACTAAACACCCGCGTGTCTGCCTTCCCCAGCTCTCTGCTTTCTCTTGAGCTCTGCCCGCCCCAGCGTGGCCCTCTGCGGGACCGTGGATGGGAGCAGTGTTGGCCTCCTAGGAGACCCCAGCACAAACACTTGGACAGACGTGCACGCGTTGAGCACCTGCCCGGTCCCTGCCCCTGCGTCTGAATCTCTAGCCTTGATGTTCCGCACAAACCAGGGTCACGCTAACTGCCCAGAAGTCAGAGTAAGAGCCGTAGGAAGCTGCCCAGAGGTCCCAGAATGGCTGCTTAATAAATAATCTCTACAGGAACAACACGACGTGCTTGCTTATACGAGCTTAAATTCAATTTGTCTCACCATTAAGGCAAATGGAAGGACAGCCCTGTGGGTAAGAAGCCGCTCTGCCCAGGCATTGATGAATCGGATTTACTTTGGTTTGGGAGGAAAAAAGATGTCACCACTGTGCTTGGCGTCTGAACCTTGTAACTCAACTTGTTTTCCGTTCAAAAATATCAGAAGGGAGAAAGTTTTATTTTTCAAGACCTTCCTCCTCCTAACCTATTAAACATCCAGTGTGTGGGATTTATGAGTTTAGGATTGATGATACTGAATTTCCATAAATTATGTTTCCAAGATATGAAATTAGTTTCCTGTGCCTGAATGTTTGGAAAGTCTGGCATGATGTATAGGCACATTCCTTTAGCAAAGGTGAAGTGAAATTGCTCACACTTTCACTTTCAATAGGTTAATGAGATTTAATCCACCTTCCCTGGAGGCTACTTAAGACTGCACACACCCAGTTGGCGCCAGCGCGGTCTTGTTCGTGCTCATTTGAGATTCAGAATAGGAGCAATTTTCATTTACCAAACAATATATCAAAACTGACTGTAACAGCTTCAAGCATGTGCTTGAGGAAAGATAATTTCTTGCATGTGGAGATCTATTACCAAAAAAGAAACAGAAAACTGAACAATTGATCCTATTTTGCTATCAGTATAATAGCTTTATTTTTCATATAAAAAGTAACAAAGTAGATATTTGAAATCACTGGTTGAATTAAGAACATATCCTCACGTGTAGTCTATAGGTGAGCAATAAATAATCCATCCTGGAGGCTAAATGAACCCACAGGTGTCATGGTTTGGGAATAAATCGAGGTATTAAGCACTAGTTTCAAATATTTTGATGGTTTGGATAAGGGCATTAAAATCACAGTGAATTTTGAGGTTTGAAATCCACAATACCTCTAGTCATAAATGCCATGGGCACAGGCAATGCTAAGATATGTAAGATTATTTTTCTTCAGTGCTTCCCGCATGAAGAACTATGAGCTAGGCTGGCCATCTTAAAAGAATTTGTGATCAAACCCTCCTTCCATCAGTGAAAACATCTAATCATGCTGCATGCATGAGCCAGAGAGATCCAAGGTTGCAGGAATATTCTTGTTTCTTTTAACTAAGTCAAGAAGACTGAAAAAAAAAAAATTCAATACATCAAAGCCTCCTTGATAGCTAAGAAAAAGCCATGCCTCTCAATTAAATACAGAAGCACTGACAATAGACCATGGTGGAGTTAGGAGTGGCATTTTGGTTGCTTCAACTCAGGGACTTTTCATGTTTATTTCACGATGGTTCACGTGAGTTCTTTTCTATCTGGTTGACATAACCAGTAAGGAAAATTTAGCCCATCTACATTTATTGTGCCTTTTGTGTGGTGAGCAGAGTCTTAGCCACACAGCTTCCATGATTTTCTCTCTCAAAAGCATAATCACAGCTTTGTTCTTTATAAAAAACTAAAAAGACCTAAGTCCAGTACAACCACTTCAAGAAACTGAAAGGTCTCCAATACCACAATGTTCTGAACCACTCCATCAGAATATGGTCGTATTCACCCATTTCACTTCCTTCCTTGGTATATACATGGCCCTTAGTTGTTTTCTTGTGGAACTATCAGATTCTGCATTGTAGTAGTAGTAGTAGTGGTAGTCGTAGTAGTAGTGGTAGTAGTAGTAGTAGCAGTAGTAGTAGTAGTAGTGGTGATGGTGGTGGTGGTAGTATTAGTGGTGGCAGTAGTAGTGGTAGTGGTAATGGTAGTGGTACTAGTGGTAGTACTGGCAGTAGTAGTAGTAGTGGTGGTACTAGTAGTAGTAGTAGTAGTAGTAGTAGTAGTAGTAGTAGTGTGTGTGTGTATGTATACACGAGAAGAATTATAGGATTCAAGGCTAGAAGGGATCTTAGAGACTATCTAGTCCAACCCCCCTCCCCCTTTTTCAGATGAGAAGCCTGTGCTTGGGTACAGGTCAAAGGTTCTAAGTCAAGTGTTCTCTCCCTCTCTGTATTTCACCTCTAGACTATAAGCTCCAGGAGGACAGGAACTATGTCCTATCCATCTCTGTAATCCCCACAGCACCATGATTTGGATGCAAGATATTTGGTAAATATTTCAAATGAATGGTGCCTACAGTCCATTTTTCTTAAAGAATAAGCACAACTTAATGACCCTAATTTTCCCCTTTCAGGTAACACGCAAGGCATTTCCATGTAAGTTAATTTAGACCACCATGAAAGGCACAGGATGAATGTTCCCTGAACGCCCATTTTAGGACTTTTTCTTGACCATACTTAGGGTCTTCAGGTTGTTCATCAGCTTCAATTCATCCACAATGGCATCAAGATTCTTCAGCTGGTTGTTGTGAAGCATGAGGACATTCAGGGAGACCAAGTGTCGAAGTCCTGGAAGAGAGCAGCAGGGAGGGGGAGGGCTTCCTCCAAATTCTCTACTGATGAGAAATCAAAGGCAAGTGTTCCATTGAAATAAAAAAAAAAATCATGGTCTGCTTGGGAGCTCACTGAGAAAGGGTTTGATTTTCAATAAGGTGGGTGGGACTTAGAACACTCAAAGGAGACATTCTAGATCTCAGTGAAGCATAGGATCAGGAACAGAGCACTGGACTTAAAGCTGGGAAGAAATGGGTTCTTATCCTGCCTCAGACGCTTACAAGCTGTGTGACCCTGGGCATGTTACTCAACATCTCTGGGCCTCAGCTTCCGCATCAGTAAATGAGGAAGTTTAACTCAATGGCCTCCATGGTCTTTTCTCACTCTATCTCTATCATCCTAATAACCTTTAAGGTGGGAATGTAGGGAGGTTCACATGTGGTCTATGGGCTTTTTCTTTTTTCTTTTTTTTTTCATGCTACCCATCTATCACCAATGTCATTTTTAGATTTATTCTGCCATTTAAAGAAACTCTCAATCATAAGTCAATCAAGAAAACCTTTTTAAAAAGTTGCTCAAGAGGATAATTGAAATAAAATCAATCTTATTGGAGAAGCATTATGTGGCTTGAGTCAGAGGAGCAGAGTTCATATCCTGCCTCCAATACTGATGAGCTATATGATTTTGGTAAGTCATTTTCCACCCCTGAGCCTCAGTTTCCTCATCTCTAAAATGGGGGGTTTGGACTATGGCTTCTGAGGTCTCTTCCAACACTAGAACTATGGTTCCATTTCCAATTTGAATCTATCAGACAGAGAGGGATAATCTGTAATTCTGTAATTTCATTGGTTTAGGGAACTCCCAGGTGAGAAAGCTCCTTTTACTAATTCAGATCAACACTTTCTATGCAATTTGTAGACATAGAGAGTTGTCTCAAACATAGAGAAGTTAAGTGACATGCACAGAGTCACCGGGTCAGTATGTGTCAGGGTGGGACTCAAATCCAAGTCTTCCTGACTGTGAGGTCAACTCTCTGCCTTGTCTCTCTAGATGTATGATGATGATGAATGATCTTCAGGGACAGGATCATGCCTACTCTGCTTTGGCAGCCACTCCCAAGAAGCCAGAGATCCCCACCAGTTCTTCACTGCCATTGGGAATAGTGTAGGCTGGACACCATCATAAAAAGAGAAAGCTTAAGGCCAGCACCTCCACAAGACTAACGAATATTTCTGATTCCATTGATGTGACTACTCCCTCCACCGGCATCATTATTATCCCTCTAAGTCACAGCACAGAGGTGCCTTAAACATGACCCCTGTGACCCACAACACTCTCTAGTGGACAGAACCAGGTTAAAATTTAATTGGGAAATATTTAATGAAATAAATAAAAATACAATACGACATAGATAATGTCATTATGTGGTTTTCTAACTGTACAGTTAAGTGGCCCCCATTTCTGTCTGAGTTTGACATCATTGCCATAGCAGACACTCTTCATGAAATACAATAACTCGAAAACATTTATCACCTAATGACCAAGCTTTCCACAGTGGGCACCTCCAAACGTAGCTGAGCTGCTCCTCAACCAACATACAGTTTTGGCCACTAGGCTCATACTTGAAGTCTTTTCAGACTGGCATCATCTGCAAGGGTTTGTCTTAACACCATTCTATAGAATCCAAGATCACCTCCATAGCCCAATAAGGTATTGAAGGACGACAGCAAAGGAGACAAGGGATGGGAGTCCAATGAAACTGCCTCAATGGGAAGATGTTAATGAGGCTGTGAAAACCCTGAAGACTCTATAGGTGGCTCTGTTTAAGTATATTCTAACATTTCTTGTACAACAGGATTGATTGGACCCCATCCAGCTGATGTCCAACTAGACAGGCAAATGATAAAGCTCTAATAATCAAGGTATTCTTTTCCAGTGGGAGAACTGCCCACATTAATCTGGGTCTGGGATCCAGAAGCATAACACCATGGATGGAAACACACACCAATACTGAACCACCCAACCTGTTTTGTGTTTGGTACAGTAACTGGAAACCCCATCCTGGATTATCATTGACAGTCACATGTCTGAAGATCAAAGTACATTTTGATAACACAGTTTCATTAGGAAGGTCTTTTAAGAGAAACTTGACATGGGAGGCCATACCTTCTACTGCATAGAGGCTGTTGTTGTCCAGGTAAAGTTCTACCAGACAAGGATTTCTTAGCAGAAATCTGATGTCTTGGAGCTGAAAAAGGAGAACCATAAAATAAAGTCTTTTTCTATCACTATCTCAGGTATTTCTTAAGTTTCTGCTTAACATACATTTCTTTTAAAACATGGTGATAGCTTTTGTTTGAAGATCACATTCATTTCCTAATAAATCACTTCCACACCCAGAGTCATGCCTTTTAACTAAAAATAAAGGAAAGAAAAAAAAAGTTCAGCAAAACTAACACATCAAATGAGGTGACAGCATTGGCCACCTTCCACACCCATAGCCACCCCTAGCCTCTGCCAGGAAGAGAGGAAGCCATGTGCTCATAATCAATATTTCCTATGGGAAGCCATCTAGGCTCCACAAAATCCTATCTTCTCCACAACCCTGTGAGGATGATAGCAGATTTTCATTATCCTCATTTTACAGATGAGGAAACAGAGGCTCAGGGATGTGTTGTGAGCTGCCCAAGGAAACACAACTGTAGCATAGAGCTAGGCACTGAGGGAAATCACAATAACTCAGGATTCTATGGCATTCTTAGGTTGACAAAGCACTTTCTTGGCACTTGTACCCTCAGGTGATTAGTACAAGTAAAGTGCCCACAATGGAAAGAGCAATCTACTTGACCCAGGGTATTAATGGATGGATAACAACAGCCAAGAGCTGTCTGGTGGCCATTCCTCATTTGGAAGTGAACTTGACGGTGATAATCACATTACTCAACAGTAGGGCCAGTCATTCTAATCACACAACTGACCAAAAAATTGTAGGGAATAGAAGAAGCCATTGTTGATAGATAGAAGATAGATAGATAGATAGATAGATAGATAGATGGATAGATAGATAGATAGATAGATAGATAGAAGACAGATAGATAGATACATAGAT